CATTATCCTCTAATTTTTGTTTAAAGATATCAAACATTTGTTTTCTAAATTCATCAACTTAGTTTCATTTGAGCATATCCACCTATAATTCCTTTAAATTTCTCTGCATCCATTTGTTTAACTGATTCAATAATATCACTCATAGTCTTATAATCCCTTTCTGAAGAAATTGATGGGTCAATTGTTTTATATTTTTCAACTGATTTTTCTGCTCCAATTTCATCATCATTAGCAATTTGGCAGATAATAGCATTAACAAAATGTTCTTTTGCTCCAAATCGAAGTGCTCCTGAATTAAGTGCATCCATCCCTATCTTATCAAATGTTTCATATGCATTCAATAACTGTCCACTCAATGCATCAAGTTTAGCTGCTGAAATTTTAAATGGTAATGCAGATGCTGGTCTATTATCCATTTCATAATGCCCAGCTGCTGTTTTATATGCTTCAGAAGCTTTATCATATTTCTTCATACTTTCATATAACTTTGCAATCTCTTGCTCTGTTTTTGCTGCTTGTGAAAATGATCCATTAGTTATATAATTCTCAACAACATTTTCAAGTGGTGCAATTGCGTCTTCTGGATGTGCTCCTTTAGATAAACATAAAGCTTTATTTAATGCTGCTTTATTTGCACTTGAATTATCTCCTAATTTTGTTGATAATAAATATGCACGGTCATATGCCTCTGCTGCTCTATCATATTCTTCACTAGCTTTAAATAAATTAGCAGCCTTATTGAATAATTCAGCTGCATCTGTCATATTCGCTTCCTTATTGAAGAACGACCATTTATTTTGGAGGGTGTTTGCTTCTGCAAACATTTGTTCTGCTTTATGGTTTCTTCCTGATAATGACATGATTTGTTCTTTTTCTTTTATTTTTTGTTTTTAAATAACAATCTTAGTTTTTAAAATTGTTTTTTTTTATTTGTTGTATTCTGTTGTGGTTGTTTTGTGATTTTCCATGTTCTTGAGGAAGATAATAGAGTAAAGAATAACAATATTATAAAAGTTATTTAAAGAAGGTTGATGTACTTTTTTTTGGAATCATATTTTTATTTTTCTATTACCTAAAAATAAATCAAGTGTCACAAAAAAAACTTAAAAAGACATTAGCGATGATTGTGTTTTTTGCACTTCTTTGTTTCGTTCATGCGGCATCTGATGATAATGAAAATTCGTTCGATGCTATTAATGAAAGAATTAAAAATGATTCATACAAAATTGATGGATCACTTCATAGTGGGATTTTAGTATTGTTTTACAGTGATTCAGGTAATGAAACTCAACCATTTGCTGGAAGGTCTTTTGTAATTCCAACTGATGTAATGACGAAATTAAAAATCAATAATTTCTATGATTTAATAGGGAACAAGACAAACAGTGACATTTATTGTAGAGTGCTTGTAAATTATAGATATTCTGAACCACAGCTTGTATATTCAGCAGGTCAAATACCAAAATTAATTTCAATACAAGTGAATCTTGATGATGATTCACATATTGAATCAGTTGATTGGGATACAGATTGTAATGATTGTGCTAGTAGTGATTGTTTAGCAGCTTTTTGTGCATTTAAAATTACTGAGTAGTTTGTTAAAAAAAAGATTTATAGTGAGGGAATAAAATTTATAAATTTAGTGATGGAACGACTTGTGCAGAAGCAAGAAAAAGTAACAAAGAAGCATGTGGGTTAATTCTTTTTGTTGGATGGAAAGGACAAGCTAAAGCACGGTATTTAAAGTCATATTTAAATTTACCATCACATTTCTCTAAATATTCATTAAAAGGACAATTTTTAGATTCAGCTGCGGAATTTGAACAGAATTGGTTAAGTTTCTAAGTAAAAATTAAATTAAATGTTTAGAAACGATTATTTGTTTAATGTTGTTCTATTTTAAAGGAATTGACGATATTTTGAATCATCAAAAATAAAACAATGAGATATTTTTTGTTGGAATTGTGTTGATCCATAAAGCATAAAAACAACACTAAACATTTTATTCATGTCTTTAATTTTTTTGATTGCATCTTTTATTAAACATGTATTCCAATCTATAATAGATTCTACTTCATTTAAAGAAGAAACACATAAGTATTGTTGAAGATTTATTGGTTCAATATCTTGAGGTACAATGACAAATATTTGGTTTGTAACTAATATAAAAATATCTTTTGTAATTAATGAAGAAGATAATTGAATTTGTTGAATATCATCAAAAGCAATAACTTTATATAACAATGGAACAAATTCAGATAATAATGAAAGTGAAAATGTTTGTAAATGATATAATAATTCATAACGAGAATCAATGGATAATTGTTTATTATTAAAGAGTTCATGTTGACTCATTCCATACAAATAAATAGGAAGAAATGATCTTTGTGCAATAAGATTTTTATAAGTTATTAAAGAATTCATTGTTTTAGAGATTGATTGATTTAAAGTATATTGTTGAGCTTGAATTAATGTTTGAGATAATAAAGCATTAATAGTAGGTTGAAGATTAATATTTATCATAAAATCTTGAATATTAGAAGATACATTTAATCCAATATTAAAAACACGTGTTCTTTTAGAACCATTAATAGAAGTATAGGATAATCCGAATTGAAAAAGAGCTTTAGAATATTTAATTTCACCATTTATTGAAAGATGAAAAATAAATGTTGAATCTTTTCTAAGTACAGGTATTGTATAATTTGTAATTGTTTTTTGAAAATAATGACCATTTACATAATCTACATTAATAAAATTAGGTTTTCTTAATCTAATTGCACAATCAAATGCAAATGGTGTTAAATTAGATAAATCTATTATTATATTTTGTAATGGTGTTGTATTTGGTTGATAAACTTTTAATACTCCATTTGTAAGATGACAAGATTCTGAAATAGTTGGAACATTTAAATCTTCATTCTCAAATAAGAACATATGAACAACAGTATTAACTTCAGAACAATGTAATGCTATCTTTTGATAGAAATCATTAGAATGATCAGGTTGTAATAATATAGGTTCTTTTGTTGAATTAAAATAATTTGTATTTAATTTATTTGATAAAACTCCTTTTCCTAATCCACATTTTGTTCCACATACAGAAATAATAGTACCACCATGTGAATTTAATAAATCATTTGCTAATTCAAGACATGTACCAAAACAACATCCTCTTGAATTATTTTCTGTTAATTCTTTCATTTGTTCAATATTTAATAAAGAATCAAATAATTCATTAATATATTGTTTATTATCTGAATTAATAAATATTGATTTATAATAAGGAATTGTATATTGACTAATTTTATCATCAATAATAGGAAAGTTCAATTGTTTTGTAATATTTCCAATTTGATATAATGTAATAGTAGTATTATATGTAATAATACAAATATAATGATATAAAGAAATAAAATTATTAATATAACTTTTTAATGAAATAATCATATTCTTATAATCCTTTGTTTGAATAAAATTATAAGAAGTATCAATCATAATAATTGTTTGATAAATTTTGTTCATTGATTTCTGATATTCAAAGTCATAAACATCATTAGTTAATTCAGGAAATGAATTAATACCATCTCGTTCCATAAATTTATATCTCAAATAAAACTTTTCATTATTATGACGACAATATCCACAAATATATTTTCCTCCTAATCTAATCCAATTCATTTCTTTACTCATAAATGCTCTACAATATGCACATCTTATTATTTAATATTATTACTTTATATTTAAAATAATTAAAACAAACCGTGGCATATCTGAAACAGTATTTACTTGAATATTAGGTACTACTTTTTCAGCAAAAGGTGTTATTTGTAATATTAATGGAATTGAATACTTCTTTAACATTGAATCATTATCAGGAAGAACAGTAGAATTAAATGCTACAAATTCTGACATTTCAATGTTATTGTTTGTTTATATTTTTTTAGTTCTTCTTTAAAAAAAAAAAAAAATAATTTTATTATATTTCGTTATATATAACATTTATATAATTTATAAAAAGAAAGGAAAAGATGGAATAGAAGATAAATAGAATAAAAACATAAAATTAAGAATAATTAATAATGAATTAACGATTTCCGATAAATATAAAAAGATAAAAAACCATTTGCTAGTGAAATTAAATGACACAAAGTTATATCTAATCCTTTTGAAGGAGTTGTAATATGAAAAAACATAAAATATAAAACATTAACCATCATACAAGTATTAAACCAAGGACGACAATAATATTCAATAGAATCTATAATAAAAATAGATATATAAGCAAGTAATACACCATAAAATGATTGTTGATGAGAATGATTTCCATTTTCTAACATATCATTTGATGTCAATATAGAAGAAACAACATATAAAATTAATAAATGATACATAGCAAAATGATAACTACAATTTATTCCAAATAATAATTTTTCACAACATCTACTAAATCTACATGAAAATGGTCCAATACTTTGATAATAAAGGGATAAAGGTGTTGGTGGATATTGAGGGAATGTAGTAATATAACTAATAGGACGAATATCTGTTTCTATTGAATCTGAAGATGATAATAAATGAGAAAAAACAAGAAAGAAAAAAGTTGTAGCAAAAGAAAATGATGAAATACTTTTATAATTTGAATGAAAAGATTGACACATTGGATCTTTGAGAATTTCTGATAATTTTTTAATACAAATTTTACAAAGATAATAAAAGACAATATAATTAATGAGAATTGATAATTTTGGTAATAAAAGTTTTAAATGTTCTTTTTCTGAATGTATAATTGATAAAATAGAAAGTAATATTGCTGAGATAATTGAAACATTTTGTGGATCCATTACAGATTTTTTAGTTAATGAAAATAATCTATTTCCCATTGATATTGTAAATTCATTATTAAACATAGATACAATTAATGTAATAACATAATATAATAAATATATAATTGGTAAATTTGATAATACAAAACAAACAAAATATCTAAGAGGAGTTATTCCATTAGGTGAAAAAGAGATTTTCTTTTTTATAGAATCATAATAAATATTCATTAAATAAAAATATTAAGTTTATTCTTATATATAATTTTTTTTTTTGTATTAACTTAATTAATAAAATAATTAAAAAAACAAAAAAAAATTTTAAATAAATAACAAAAATCAGATGAAGTGAAGAAAGAAATTATTTAAGCATAACTGTCAACAATTTTACCTTCAAGTTCAGCTCGTAACTTTTTAATTTCAGTATCTTTCTGAATCATTTCATAATTCATTTTTTGGATAATAGCATCTTTTTGTTTTGCTTCATTAACTAAAGTATCGTTTTCATTTTGTGATTTTTGAACTTCAGAATTTCTTACATTAATTTTTTGTTGAACTTCTTTAATTTCAGCTTCAAGTTTTTGTTTTTCTTGTTGGAATTCTTCTTCAACTTTAAGAAGTTCTTCTTTATTCTTTGATTGAGCTTTTAATTGATCAACTTCATTAGTCAATTGTTCTTTTTCTTTTGTGAGTTCTTCTACTTGAAGTTCTAATGGTTTCTGAGCTTCTTCTAAGATTTGGTTAAATTCATCTTCTTGACTAGATTGAATTTTGTTATACATTGCTTTTAATTGAGCATTATCATCTTTTTGTAGTTTAACTTGATTCTTTAAAATGATTGTACGTTCAGCTAATTGTCGTTGTGTTAATTCATACATTTGTTGAAGATCAGGAATGGATTTTTCTTGTTCTTCAATTTGTTGCATTAATTTAGCTGTTTCAGTCTTAGCATTCTCACACATTTGAGTAACAGTTTTAGTATTTTCATTTATTTTTGTGTTTAATTCAGCAACACTCTCTAAAAATAAATATTCAATAGTAAAAAAAAAGTAATTTTCTCTTTTAACAAACTTGGTGTTGTTGATTGAATAACTTCATAAATAATTTGATATGAATTACGTAAAATGTGATATGCCATATTAAGATCATTCCTATTTAATGCAAGTATAAATTCATCATTATAAAATATTGGTTGATCCATTTGACTCATATCTTTCAATTTTAAGTTTCAACTCTTTTTTATTTGTTTTTTTTTAATTTTTCTTATTTTTATAAAACAAATTATATTATTATAGAAAATTTAAAAATAAAATGAATCAGAACCCTTTATCCTCATATTTATTCAGTATGAAACTGCGAACAGGGAGACTGCCAAGTCTAGTCATCATCTTCATTTATTTTTTTATTCATTTTCTTATTAATTAATTTTTTTTATTATTTTTTAAATTATGGGTTTATTTCATTATATAATTAAAATATTTAATTATTCTTTCTATTTATTTCTTTTGAATATTTTCCTTACATTTTATTTATTTTCTTTTTGTTAATTTTACGACTTAACCTTGACCATTTGTATATTTCTTCTATAGATTCTGGTAATTGTGGTGATGGTGTATGTTCATTTCTTAGTTCTTCATACTCTTCTACAGTAGGTGTTAATAATACTTTTTTTAAAATCATTTGTTCCAAAGGGGTTGTATCATTAGTTGATAGAACGTCATATGGTTTTTGAATACTTTCTTTTAACTTTCTTTCTTGTTCTTTCCATTCACAGTGTTTGAAAATCATCATTGGTTCTTCTTTAGAAAATACACCTTCAACATTAATCCAACCATGTTGTTTAATAGAATTAAAATGAAAATGATAATCTTGTAAAATTGAAGTAATTTCATCTCCATACAATAATACCATTCCATTATTTGGTAAAATATCACTAAATTCTTCTAAACTAGAAGCACCACTTCCAATTATTGTTTCAATTTCACTAAGTTTTAGAATTTCATTTACACTAATATTTTGGTTTTTTGCTGTTGTTTCTCTCCATTCACATAATTGATTAAATGCCTTAAATTGTTCTTTGGAATACTTTCTATAAGACGCTCTCTTTTTAATAATTCGTTTCAATTCATATTTTCTTCCACCTGGTAATATTTCTTTATCACTTTCCATAAATACATCATGAAGAAGATGTTGTTCTATTAATTTATTTCGTATTTTAATAGAGAAATTAAGAAGTTGTAATGTATCTAATCCAAACCAACAAATAATATATTTTGAATAAGGTCTAATCATCCATTCATCATTTGTTTCGGGAATTCTATTTGTCATTGTTTTAAATAAATCAGAATAATTATAACAAATATTCATTTTTTGACAAGCTACATCTAATAAAAATACATTATTTGTTGTTATTTTAAATTGATAATATAATGTTCTAATTCCAAAAGCTTTATAACATACTTTTTCAATAGAAGTACTTTCAAAAAGAATAGAGATTATCTCAAAAGATTCTTTTAATTTTAAAATATCTAGAACATAAACAAAATTACTAAAAGCAATAAAAAGAATACAAAGATATCCTCTATAATTGTTTCTTTTATCAATACCAAATGAAAGAGAAACTTGATGATATTGCATAACTTTTTCCATAAATAATTTTAATTCTTCTTTAGTAGAAACTTCAATAAGATTCATATCTTCTATCTTTGGTAAATTTTGATTATCTTGAAATTGGTATTGCCAAACTTGTTTTGTATCATCTCCAAAGAATAAAATAGGAGATTCAATTTCATAAGTATTATTTTCAATTTCAATAGGAAGTAAAGCATTTTTTGAGTTAATTCTATGATCAAGAGATTCTAATGAATTAACAGAAAGATTAACTTTTGGAGAAACAAGAATTTTAGATAAATTTTGTTTTTCATTAATATATTTATTATATTGAAGAATAATATTATTTGAAAGTTCAAGTATTCTTTTTGGATTTGTAAGAATAAGTTCAGGATCACCAAAATATCCTAAATCAGTAAGTATCTTTTTAATTAAAAGAATTAAATGATTTTTTGATTCTTTATTATTTTTTACACCTTCTTTAATAGCTTTATCAGTATCATCAAGTAATTTTTGCATTTTATGATTAAATAACTTTTCTTTTATAATTACAAAATTTTCACTTTTAGATAAATGTCTTTTCATTTAGAAAGTTAAAAAAACAAAGAATGAAGTTGAAAAAAAAATAATAATTATGTAAATCAATTCAAATTATTTACGACTACAATATTTGGTTCTGTGTAATCAAATTTAACATTTTCTGTTGTAATAAGAATGAAAGCAATTACTGAAAAGACCATCACTAACAATAAGAAGAAAAATGTAACAATATACATTGCAAGATTTTCTTTTGCAATACCAAGGAATCCCATTACTTTTGTTTTTTTTAAGTTCTTTTTTTTTTTTTCTCAGATTATATTAAATCTTTTTTTTTTTTTTTCTACTCAATGAAATAAAAATAATAAAATTAAGTTTTCTTTATTATAGTCTTAGATTTCATAAATTATTTTTTATAGAAATAATATCCTAATATATAATTATGAGAATATATAAATAAAATTATAGTTTTTATCTCATTTAACTTTAATTTAAAATTTATATTAAAGAAATAATAACAAAAAAAAAACTCAAAAAAGAAAAATGATAAAAAAAAAAGAAAAACCCTTTAAAAATAAAAAGAGACAAGATAAAATACAATGGAAGAATATAATGATGAAAATGATCCTATTGAATTAGAAATGCCAGTATATTTATGTGATAATAATGAACAAGAATTATTTCTTATGCAATATCCAACAAGATTAGCATGGAGACCATTTGATTTATCACAAGTAAAAGAAGTAAGATATAAACCAATACAAAAAGGAATTGAAATGGATGTGAAATTAGAAACAGATTTTATTGATGAAGAAAGTATTTATAAAATTACATCTCAAACATATAAAGGAACAGTTACAGAAAATAAAGCTAATTATGCTGTTGGATTTGTTAAAGAAGTTAAAAAACAACCAACATTAGTATTATTTCCAGTTTCTACTATTGCACAAATGAGACCTCAACTTCAATATATTGATGAAGATATAATTGATGAAAAACCAGAAAAAGCAGAAGGAATGACTGCAGATGGAAAAAAGAAAAAAATTGCAGTTTCTGCAGCACCAACAAAAAAACAAAAAGATTTAGAACAATTAAAAAAAGATGAAGCAGAAGAAGCTATTAAAATGAAATTAAATGATACTACTGAAAATGAAACTATTGAAGTTGTAGAAAAAATGATTAAAACATCAAAAGGGAAAATTGAATGGGAAAATGATGTTAAAGAATATATTAATAAACTTGCACCATTAATTGAACAACCTACACCTTTATTACAAAATCGAGATAGAATTATTGATACATTACGTATTGGTAAAATTATGAAATTATCAAGAATTACAGAAATATTAAAAAGTTCAGAATCAACATTAACAGGATGGTTAGCTGAATTATGTTATCTTGTTAATGGAGCATTAGTTTTAAAAGGAGAATTTATTCAAGAAATTGGAGAAAGAGAAAATTGTATTAGAGAAATTATATTATCTACACTTTCATTAAAGAAAAAAGTTAAAATGGAAGATATAGAAGAATTATGGCCAAATTATACACAAAGAATTAAAATGGTAAGAAAAGTTTTTGATAATTATTGTACAATAATTAAACCAGAATATGGAGAATATTATTGGGTTGCTAAAGTTGAAGATGAAGAAACAGAAAATGAATGGACAACATTAGCACAATCAAGTAAACAACATTGGAAAACAGTTAAAGAAGGTGTTATTAAAAGAATGAAAGAACTTGATATTGAAGGAGATGAATTTTCATTTGGAAAAATAATAATTGATAAAAAGAAAGTAATTGGATCATTAAATCAAGAAAATCAAGAACCATTATCTCAATTATTAAAAGAATTATTAATGAAAGAAGGTGCTATGAAAATTTCATCAATTATTGATGGAGTAAAAAAAGAAACTAAACGTAAAACAAGTAAATTATATAAACAAATTATTACACAAGAAATTATTGAAGCAACATTAGAACCTATTTCATATCATATTGGATCTGTTTATGTTGGAAAGAAATGTCCTAAAGATAAAAATGAAAATGTTAGAAATGCTATTCTTCAATTTGTTATTGAAAAACAAAAATTTACACAACAAGAATTAAGAACTCATTTACAATCAATAAAATTTAATGATTCTAATGAAATTATTTCATTAACTGAAATAAAACGTCATGTTAGTGAATTTATGGAAATGCATGGAAATATTTGGACAATGAAAAATGGAGATATTATTTTTAATTAATAAATAATATTAATTGAATAAATTAAATTTTAATCAAACATTACTTGTTCCATCAAGTGTTTTTTTTCTTCAATTAAATTAGATAATATTTCATTATCAACAGTATCATCTTGTGGATGAATAATATTTGGTGTTTCATTTACAATTTCTAACATCCATGTTGAAATAACTCCAAAGTTTGGTCTTTGATTTGGTTCTTGTTCCCAACATTTTATTATAACATTTTTCATTTTTGGACTTATAAAATCAGGAAATGGAAGTCTATATCCTGCAAGAACATGTGATTTAATTGAAAATAAATCTTGGAAATCACAAAATGGTTCTTCTTCACAAATTAATTCCCATGAACTTATTGCATATGAATAAACATCACTTGCATATAAATATTGATCTTCATATGTTTCTGGTGCAAGATATAATGGTGTTCCAAGTCCTTTATCAGAATTTCTTTTAATTCTTGATGTCCCAAAATCTGTTATTTTAGCAACTGAATCAGAAGATAATGATAATGAACTTAATAATATATTATCTGGTTTTAAATCAAGATGCATAATAGAATTTTCATGTAAAAAACTCATTCCTTTTGCAACATCTTTTAATATTCTCATTTTAAATTTATATGTTAATTTAATCCCTTCAGGTGGTGGTCTACAATAATGATTTAATGAATCAAACATTGCATATGGCATAATTAAACTAATTTCTGGATTATATGTTACTGATCCAATATATCCAATAATATATGGATTTCTTAATCTTTTCATTAAATTACATTCTGCTTTAATATCTTTTATCATTATTTCTCTTTCTTCTTCATCTCTAATACTCATTTTAAATCTTTTAATTGCAACAAAAATCCCTCTATAACTTCCTAAATATACTGTAGAATATGTTCCTTCTCCAATTGGTGTTTCAATCATTCTAATCTCATCTATATCAATATCTGTAGATGCTGATGCTTCTATTTTCAATATAAAATTAAATCTATATTTATTATTTTTTCCTTGTGTCATCAAATTATGTTTATCTCTATCTTCTTTTGAATATGTTTCTTCTGTTTGATTTCTAAGATTATTAAGAATATCTTCTAAATTATTTTTTCTTTGTGAAAAATAAACAGTACTTGGTATTTTCATTCCAAGAAGTTTAATAGTACAAAAAAGTGTAAGATAAATTGTAATCATACCTTTTCTTTTAGGTGTTATAATTAAATATTCAGGTTCTGTATGAAAAACATATTTAGGTGATTTCGGTAAATGAATAATAACAAGCATATATTTGTCTCTTTTGTTTTTAAACACTACTTGGTTGAAATACGTCTTTCCAATACTAATAAATTCACTATCTCCAAATGTTAAATCAACACAACTCGTTGTAAATGGTAGTTTTTTATCAACTTCAATCGGATTAATAACACTCGAATTAGATATATTTAAAAATATGTTTGGTTGTTCTACTAATAATGCCTTGGGATCAAAACTTTTCCTTTTTCTAAAGGTATTGATTATTAAAAATATCCCTATCATTAATATAAAAGCAATCCAAACACTTCCAATAATAATTAGCAATATATGCCACCAAAATATCCCAGACTCTTTACAACTTAATGGGTCATTTGGGTCAGTTGTAAACCCATCATCGCATTGACAAAAATCATTACAATGAAGTCCACCATCACACTCTTCAAATTCATTTTTTTGTTTATTGCCACAAGTTTTTAATTTACACGTCTTATGTTGAGTGGGTTCATAACCATCCGCACATTCACAATTCAACAAACAATGTTTATTATTTCTATTACAACTGCCTATACCTGAACTCAAACATTCTTTACTAACACAATAATGGTTTTGATAACTATATCCTTCTTTACACTTACAATGTTTGTCACAACCAGGAGTTCCTAAATAACAAGGATTTTCTTGGGTGGTATTAAATTCACCATCATAATAACACAATCTACTACAATCTTCAAAACCATATCCTTCATTACAAACGCACTTAAACTCAGAAATAACACACTGACCATGTCCATTATCTTGGTTACATTTATTAACACATGAGGTTTGAATTCTAAGAGTTAATGGTTCATTTTCAATTGACATAAAAAAATGTCTTAATTCTTCTTTTTCTGAGTATATTTTGAATAAAACACCATATGAAGAACCTTCAGTTGTAGTTAAACCAGCTTTTTTACCAATATGAAGTTGTTTACAAGAAAAGGTATTAATATTAATTTCTTCAACATAATGAAAAGAACTAGATAACTTAGTATCAAGAACAAGAGTATGATATGGCACTGTTTTTACTGAAAAAAATATACCTTTTCTTGTTATTGGAGAACATTTCATTTGATAAACAACAAGATCTTTTTCACCAACAACCATTGTTTGAGGTTTACCAAATGAAGTATAATTATCAATATAATCAATGTAATCAATATAGTCATTTCCATCAATAATTAATGAAGCATGAAATACGTCTGAGTTTATAGCTGCTTTTGCATTAAATGAAATAGTATAATTGACACCATTTATTAGTCCAATAAATAGAATAAATGTATTTGAGTTTAAAAGGATTGAAAATGATCCATCATTTGAAACAATTGATGAAGTTAAACAATTCATTTGTCCATTAACAATATTACTAACTTGCATTGAAACTTCTTTATTTACAATTTGTTGATTTGAATTAAGTATTTTAATATTATAAATACTCATTTGAGTACCTTCAGTAAGAGTAATCGAAGTCCACTTTCCAAAAAGATAATCATTTATTTGTGATGTATTAATACAAGGTGGAATAGAAGGAGTTACTTCAGACATATCAAATGAAAAAAATTTCTCAGAGAAGTCTAAAGTAAATTCACTAGAATTTACTGGCATTCTATTGAACTCTTTTCCTTGAATTTTATCAGAAACATCAATACATTGATCATCAATATTTAAATAAACTGGATTTGTTAATTGGTCAACGCTCTTTGATGAAATGTAATAATCACATTTTTCACAACTATCATCATTATCATCATATCCCATTTTACATGTTTTGCATACTTCAGTTTCACATTGGCCACACCCAACATTATTACAAAATGTAGAAACACATAACGTAAATGTGGTCAGCAATAGTAATGCATTCATTACCTTTTTTTTAGTTTAAAAAGTATGTTTTTTAGTGCTCTGTGGATTTTGTTTATTATCTAAAAATACTTTTCATAGCAAATAATTTTCAATGACTCTTTTATGGTTTTTTCCTTATATAATTATGTTCTTTTAAAATAAAAAAAAAAGAATTTTGTTAAGAAAAATTAATTGAGTAAATTACGCATTTTGGTTAAACAGAAGAGTTTTGAATAAAACTATATTAATTAAAAAAGACTAAAAAAAGAATTGAATTAATTCTTTTTAAGTCAATCTTAGAAGAATATCCACATCATTACTAACGAATTAATATTTCTTTTGTTTAAATTTATTGTTTTTGTCTAAACTAATAGTAATGATAATAAATTAGAAGAATTAAACTAATAGTCATAATCCAGCAGATAAATAACAAATATATTAAAATAAATAAAATTGTTATAAACAATTAACTCTCATAGTCTGCGTAATTGTATATGAACCACTATTGGTCATTAATCGTTGAACTATGGCTATTGAAAGGATTTAAAAAAGTTAATTTAAAGTAGGAAAAATTCTTCTAAAGAAATAAAAATTATATTCTATTTCAACTGAAATTTAGTGCCACACACTTTTTCAATCATTTTCATACCATCTTATTTCATAATGACAGACTATATCAATTCTATATTAGTTATATATTAATGACAACTCCTCTTACTTTCATTAGCCAACGTTTCTTACTTCAGTATTCTCCTATTTCCTTTCAACACATTTTATCAACACCTCTACTTAACCAAAATTATCCTAAATTTTTATAGGAGCCAGTGATCATCTACACTTATATATCATTTATACTTTGACGTACTTAACTTAGCACTTTATTAAATTAACTTCTCTTCCTGTTGGACTATGTTTCTATACTTTTTGATGTCCATATTCAATTCAGTTATTATCTTTAAGTCACTATATAAAACAATATTTCATTTTTAATCAAAGTTCATTTATTCTATTAATAATATCAGACACAGTATTCAATTATTAGATAAAAAAAATAAATGGTAATAAGTCTCCTTGAAATATTCAGTTTTGAGTTTACTGTTTTTTATTCTATTGATACCTAATCTTTCATTCACTACATAGTCACTTTATCACCATTCTGATTCTATACAGTATCTTAATTCATTATAGCACGATTTCAAAAAGTCTTGACTCAGTGGGTTATAAACTTTTTTTGATGTTATAAAATTACTTCATATAATATTTAATATAATTCACTATATTTTAATTATTTTTCAATGTTATTTTTGATACTTCTTGTGAATAATTTCATAATTACATTTAGAAATTGTTATTTAATAATTCTTGTTTTTCTTATATCATTCTTTTTGAAGATGAGAACAACTCCTCTTTCGATTCCTTTTTCTTTCTTTCGATCCACTGCTGTTATCACTTTAAATTTTGCTTTAACTTCTTCTATTAATTTATATACACATTTAATGCCTTTTTTCTTGTGTCTTCTTTCTTTAATCTCTTTGCTCTTTTCCTTCTTTATTCTTTCAGTCTTTAATGCTTTCTTTCCTTCTTGGTTAACATATTGTTGTGTTTCGTATGTTATTCTTTCATGTATTTTACCCCCATTATTATATATTCAACGCTCTTCTTTTCAGTCATTATTTCATTCATTATTTCTTCAGCCTTTTTGAATAAACTCAAGGTAAATAAAGTTATTAAAAATTTTGTTCAGATTTTATTGAAACAAAGAAAAGTATTAATTAGTTTTTAGTTTTAATAAGATTTGTGATTATCAATTTGTGATAAGATAAATTGGAGTGTTGATTTTTGTTAAAATTTAAAATAAAAATAGAGTAATTTATAATAATAAAAAAATTTAAAATAACAAAAAATATTTATAAAACAAAGTTATTGTTTTCTACTTTCAAAAAAGGAACAAATTAATAAAAAACAAATTATAAATGATTGGTTATCGATTTTTTGTTATAAAAAGAAATATTTAAAACGGTATAAATATCTTTAAAATAACATTTATGAAAATAGTGGAATTTCCCCTTTTTCCTGAAGTTCATCCAAGTAATTATCCACAACCATTAAGAGATTTAACACTTTATTACAAAGAAAAAAGAAATAGGTATATAGATAAGTATCACAATAAAGTAAAAAATATTGAATTACTACTAACTCAATGTGAAAAAGGTCATTTTGAAATTAAAGAATCAATAAAATATGGCACATGTAGATCATGTCATGAACATGGAATATTTGGTAAGTTGTGTGAATGTTGTAAAGAAAAAACATGTTTTAAATGTTTGAATGAAATTTCCATTGAAACTCAAAAAGAAGAAAGAGTTCAAGATAAAGAAAAAATAAGTTTGTTTGTAAAATATTTATGAATAAAAATATTTAATTACAAAATAGAAGTTATTTTATGTAAGAACTGTATGGCAGTATTTGACTCAATAAAAGAAAGTAAATTACTTATTCAAGTTCTTTCACAAAGTCATTATAATATAAAATTAAGAGATGATGTAGTTAGTGTTGCTCAAAAAACAATTGCAGTAAAAAAAATGTTAAATAATGCACATGACAAAAATGAAATAATTGAATTATGTCATAATGGTTTAAAAACAATAAAAGAAATGCAAAGGTTAATTGATAAAATAAAAATTGAAAACCATCAATTTGATTCAAAATCTGATGCAGTTATTGCATCAAATATTTTAAGAGCACTTTCTTATTTTAATGGAACATTTGGATTTTATTTAATTGGAGAAATTGAGGTTTGTTATTTTGTTATATTCTAAACATTATTTAACAATGAATTAAAATAACCACTTTATAGAAAACTGAAAAAAGAATAAACAAACCACTACCATTACCAATTATTACTTCAATAAATTGTAGTGTTATTCCAATAAATGGTGGAACAATTAAAATTAAAGGCATTGGAATTGCATCAGGAATTGAAGCATTTTGTAAACAAAAGAAAATTAAAAGTGAATTTATTAATGGTTGTTTATGTCTTTCAATTCCACAAACTACTTTTCAAGAAATTGGACAAAGTGTTGCACTAGAGTTATTTACTTTAGACAAAAGAAAGGTTCCACTTCCTGGAGATATTATTTACTGTGATTATTAACAAAAGAAAAATATGATAAATTCAAACTTAATTAAAAACTTCTTCCATCCTCATAAAGTTTCCATTGTCATTGTATGGCATCCAAAACATTTGTTTACTTCTTCCTAATGAAGAAACAACAGCACTTTTTCCTAAGAGTGGCATTAATTTATCACTTAATATAATATCAACATCAGTAATAGTTCTATAACAAAGCATTCTTATATCAATAGAATCTCTGTCTAATGTCACTTGGTTATACATTACAGAATCTATACAATTTTGTGTTTCTACTTTTAATTCAAAAATTTCATTGAGTATTTGAGGAGGAACATTAAATAATAATTGTTGAACTTTTTCAACTAATTCCATTGCTTTTCCCATAACTTTTCGAATTTTTGAATTAAATTCATAAATATTATCATTTGTAATAATAAATGGATCAGGAATTTTAATTATTCCATTCATTGGATTAATATATTCTTCAACTGTAATTTGAAAATCAGAAGGAGCTTGTAGAAGTGCAGTTGAAATTACACGTACATTTTGTAACCAACGTTTTCCAAATTCATCTTCTATTATTTCAGTTTGTAATGCATAAGTTTGAATATCTCTTAAAGAGTTTTGTGATAAAACTGTTTTGTATTGTTGATAATAATTTTTTGGTTTTGGGAGATAAAGATATAATAATGATGTTGGAATTTTAAAAAATGTAACAACAATTGGATCAAGAAAAGTCATAGTTGATGTTAATAATGAATGACAATAAAGAGTTAAATCATATCTTCGTTCTGCTAACCCTTCTTCACTGTGAACTATTAATTTACCAGGAAATTCAGGAAAATCATCTTCATCATATCTTTCACATAACGATTCAAATAATTTTAAAAAATCACTATATCTTCTTTTTCCAGCACTCCAATGAACATAACCACACCACCTTAAATCAACTTCGTAAGTATTTGCAATAGGAATTAAATTAATTTCCATATTGATATTAATTGATCTTAGCATAGTAATTATTTATTTTAAAGATCGTTTCAGATTTTTTTGACAAAAAGATTGAAATCTTAATTAAAAAAATGAATGAGTATTACATTAAATGAGAATTAGAATATAATTCTCTATATAAGTGAGCTTGAGAAATAAAAGTATCCATTTCTTCATTAGTCCAATTACTTGTTGGTAAATTTTGAAGAAAGATAATTGCTTCTCCAAAGTCTTTTTGTTGAAGTTCTGAAGAGTATTTATTTATTAAAGCCACACATAAGAAAAGAGGAAGCTCAGCAAAACCTTTTTGATCAGAAATGAGTGTGTCAAATAAACGTATTCCTTGTTCAGGAGAAAATTCTCTTAATAAGAAACAATTAAACCATCGAAAAGCATAATTTAAAGTATGAACGTCAATAGCTTCAAGATGGTTTGATAAAGATGGATTAATTTTTTTAATAAGTAATTCTAATTGTTTTAAAAGTTCAAATATTCGAGGTTGTTGACAAGTATAAAAATTTTGGACAGTTTCTAATACAAATGTTAATGAATCAAAAGAATCAGCTTCTTGTTCAATAGTTGGTTTAATATATTTATTATCTTTTTTATCATAATATACTCTAATGATTGGAATAAGAATATCATGAATACCTTGTACATATCCACTTGCTGGGTGACGAGCTGCCCATAAAGAAAGGATTCTTTTCATTGATTCTCTAACATCATTTAAATCTTCAGAAATTCTGAGTAAATCTTTTGATATTTGTTCCACATTTCGTTCTTCACCAAATTTTGTTTGAATAAATTCATATTTTTCAATTCTTTTACTAATAAAATTTTCCTTTTTATTTTTATCTAAAGGATGACATTGTAATAATATTTTCCATACTTCTCTTCTATATTCTGAAGGACATCCTACCCAACAAATATCTTTTAATTGTTTAATATCAATATATTCTTTTGAAAGTATTTTTTCTAGTTTTATTAATGTTGGTGATTTACTTATTTTTTGTTCATTTTTTTCTTCTTTTTTTATTATTTCTTTTGGTTCTGTTTCTTTTTCACTTTCTTTTTTCTCTTCTTCATTTGTATATCCAACAATACTGTTATATAAGGCAATAATACTTCTTGCTCCTCGAATAGCATCTTCTGTTAAAATATCCATTAATTTTTTTAGTTTATTCAAATTTAAAAATTTTTCTTCCTTATAACATTTTTTAATTACTTTCTCTCTTTTTTTGTTTTTGTATTATTTTTTTTGGTTGAAAGATACTCAATTTCATTAATATTTTTTTTTGATGTGATTTAAATAACATAAAATAAAGATAATAAAATTCAAAAAATGGAATATTACAAAAAACAAATTGATAAAAAGCTATTGAAAAATATAAGAATATTGATGCAATAAGAATAACTAACAAGAGACTATAAAAAAATAATGTGTTGAATATTTGAAATAATAGTCGAGAACCATCCCACTGATTTATTAGTCAAAATGAGTTTTATAAGTGTATGGACATTGTTTGTGTTATATTATAAAATTTATTTAACTCAGAACAGAATTTAATAAGAAAGTGTCATACCAAATTACTTTATACTTTAATACCATTTTTATATTCTCTGTTTTTATTTATATTGTTCAATGTATTACAGTTATGCTCTATTAGATAAAAACATCTTAGAGTAATTTTGTGACTTTAAATAATTATCTTATATTGTTATTTTTCATTGGTATTTATAAGTACAATAATAGTTATTATTGTTGGTTTAAAACTAAAATATGTTTTATGGTTGATCGATTAGATAATAACTTATCATTCATTCAATTAATGGATTTAATTTTTTTATATAGTATTATATACTTAGTGAATATTTATCTTTTTATTCTTTTTTATGAATTATTACATGTCCGAAAATCAATAAAGGTAAAGTTGTCATTTATTAATTTCATTAATTGTATCAATCATAACACTATCTATTGTTTGTTTAATTTTTTTTATTTTAAATAACCAAATTTCTCAAAAAGTAGTCAAGTTATTCATTCTTATTACTTTCTTATTTAATGAACGAATCCTCCTCCAAATCCTCCTATTGGCATGTTATTAGGAATAAATTCTCCTATTTGGATACCATTGCCACCTATAGGTCCTCTTCCAATCATCACGGTTTGTGTTATCACTTCAACATTATCACATTCAATCTGGGTAATTGAATTTGAAGTATCAACCATTTTTATAAAATGACACCTTACCATTTTAACTTCTTTTCCTTTGACATTACTAGGAATAGCAATTCCATTACACTCTTCCATTTCAAGTTTCTTCAAACTTTCATTCAACATACTTCGAATATTGTCCATTCTTTTCAGTGTTAGTTCTTCTTGACATTGTTGAACGACACAACCAACTCCTGTGCTATTAATTATATTGGCTTTATTACTTGGCAGATGTAAAGTAAAATGATATAGTTCAGAGTTTTCAATATTTATTGTATCAATAATATTATTATCCTTTGATGATATCCTAATACCAATTTTACTATTAATAATTTCAAGTAAATTTCTAATTTTATACATATTAAATTCAATACTCTCACAATTATTAAATAATATTGATCTAGCAGATCCAATTGTTAATTTATTTTTTTGATTTTGGTTATACACTTTATTCTTACAATTAATGAAATTGATATTTCCATATTCTTCATATTCTCCTTCAAGTGTGATATTTTTACAATTTTCTATTGTAACATCACTATTAATATCACTTCTAATTTTAATCTTACGATCATGAATATTTCTTATTATAACATATTTTTTATCTGTCTCTATTTCTATATCTTTATTTGTATTATTTATTTCTATTATTTCTGTATCTTCTTTTATATTATTCTTTGTTTCTGGAATATTACATTCTTCATTATCTATTGTGATGATTTCTTCAATATTATCTAACTTCCCTGTGATTTCTGTATTTTTACATTTTGTTATTTTCATTTCTTTGATTTGATTCTTGTTGATTATGAATTGACAATTCTCACATTCATCAATATATAATTTCTTACATTTATCAAATAATTCTTCAAAGATATATTCTTTCATTGATACAATATATATCTCTTCTGCTTCTTTCAGAGATACTTTAATGTATTCTTCAATTGATTTAAATATAATTTTCTTTGGTTTAATATCAATTTTATTAATTGTAGATTCAATTACTTTCATTGTATTACATCCTTTATTTCCTATAATACTAACTTCTTTAGATTCTGCTATTATTAATTTATTAATTGGACATTTTGATTTTACATTGATCTGATTTCCTTTTGCTATTTCAATATTTTGTTCATTATTTGATTCTATTTTCAATTTAAAAATCTCACAACCTTTAATACAAATCTTACTTGATTTATTTGTTGATAATTTAAATTGTGTTTGTTTATTTCCTTCTAATTTCAATCTTTCGATACAATCTGATTTAATATTAATTTGACAATCTGTAGAATTAATCATTTCAATACTTTTTAAATTATTTGATAGTACGTTAATATTTAAATTAAAACATTGGTTTAATTGAAATTCTTCAAGACTTGAGAATATATTTGCAATTTCTTGTATTTCTTTCCAATATCTTCTTTTATTAGTTGATATAATTTGCTGTTCTTCTTTCATTTTACTTATCTTAAGTTTATTTACTCCCTGTAGTTTTAATCTTTTCAAATTGTCTACTGATTGAAGTTCAACAAAAGACTTTTGTCCAAGTATTTCTAAATGTTCAACGCTTTGTTGATTAATTATTAATTTTTGATCGGATGAATAGATATAAAGATTTTTAATATATTCAGGTAATAGTGATATATTAATTGGTGTTACATTTTGTGTATCCACTCCTTGTGTGATCCCATAAATTGAAACAGAAGTTGCATAAAGATCATTAAGAATCTTATAAGTATTCTCTCTACTCTCTTCATCAATAAAGTTATTAATATCTACGTTTACATTAGAAATACCATTACCTGATTGTTCAACTGTTGGTGTTATATTTGAAAATAGTGAGCTAACTGATGATCTAATAAACGTTACATTTCTTTCATTATTTGAATCTAATAAAACAATATTAGGTAAATACAATTTAATACCTTTTAGTATTTTTATGTCTTTTTTAATACGAGAATTTATGAGAATAATATTTTTCTTTTCTGGTTCTTTAACGTAACTCCCATCAGTGTCTCCTTGAATTATCATTTCACTTGGATATCTATCAGCACTTACTATAAAATTGGCAAGTGAATTATCAAATTTATAAAATAAGGAGTTTGTTTCAAATCTATTAAACACACAATCAAATTTTTTCTCAAATTCATCGCTACACCTTATTTTAATTCCTTTTTTCATCTTTTGAATAATAACTTCTATTATCTTTTCAGACGCATATGAAAAACAAGTCATGGACTCTACTTTTTGAATAATCTTACCAAGCCTTTCTTGTTGTTCTTCTGTTATCTGTTGTTGATTAAGTTGATTATTTCTGTCATTTCCTTTTATTGAATATATAAAATGACCCAAATCATAATTTCTTATGTTCTCAACATTTGTTAATACTGACTCATCAACATTAAGTAAATTACAGTTACATGTTGGTGGATTAAATATTCTACAAAACTTGTTGATGTCTCTTTCTGATGTAAACCATGGATTAATTTTTAGTGCACTGATAACAGAACCACATTTCTTATTAATCATTTCAATGTTTTGAATGTCTTCCATGTCTTTAAGGTGAAGTATCACTTTCATTAAATAAACCATTTCAAGTTGTTTCATTCCTCTTTTTTATAATTTAACGACGGTTAGATTTTCTTAAATACTCACTTGTGAATTTTTTAATTTTTCACATTTTTTCTTTGATTAATATGATTGCTCTAAAAATATTTCTAGGATAAACAGTAGAAGAAATAAAATGAAAATACAACTTAAAATTTAATAAGAGATATAATAATTAATGGAAATAAAATATTAATCGTTTTATTAAATGAATTGGATAAACAAAATAACAATATAAAATTTAATATAAAATTGTTATTTTTAATAAAAAAAAAACAAACAAAAAAACAACATAATAAAACAAAGAATCCAATAATAATTAATATTCTAAAAATTGAATTATTTTTTTTTAAAGAAAATATAAACTATAATTTGTAAAAATAAAATCTTACACTTAGTTTGGTTCTTTTTCTTTTCTTAAAAAGGACCTCTATTTTTGAAAATAAAGATTATTATACAAACCAGATTAAACGATATATACTTATTTGAATATAATTTTAGAAAACCTTAGTGAACAATAAAGTTATAAATAAGGGAAATATAAAATTTTTTAAAGTGTTTGTTTCGTGTTAATGTAACAACTTTATCAAAATGGTATTAGGAAAATGGTCTATACAGAACTGGTTTAACTATAAGAATAACAAATCAAATTTATGTTTCTCGATATAAGAGAAATTAATAATAAAATAACTGAAAAAAGTAAAAAATGAAAACAAAAAGAGACATCAAATAAGTACTCAATATCAAAAGAATTAATAGAAAAAAATTGCAAAAAAAAATTATAAAAAAAGAACTTAAGTTTTATAATAACCACAAAAATAATAAAACCATTATTATTCTAAAAAGCAAAACCAAATTTATTTCAATGGGACAAATTTGGAAGAATGAGTAGCTCCTACACCTGGTCTACCATGAGTAACTGGTTTGTAAGTAATTGAAAATTCTCCAAGATAATGTCCAAGCATTTCTGGTTTAATTTCGACAGTGGTGAAGGATTTACCATTGTAAACACCAATAACTGAACCAATCATATTTGGAAGAATGATTTTATCTCTGCAATGAGTTTTAACGAGTTTTGGTTTTTCACCTTCTTTAGTAGCCTTCTTAATTTTGAGGAGTTTCTTAACAAGTCTTTCATGTTTTAATTTTGGTGATCTTCTGTATGATCTTCTAGCTCTAGCATCTAACATCTTGACAAAATCAGCTTCTGGCATGGCAGTGATTTCTTCAAGTGATTTTCCTTGTAATTCAAATTTCTTGAAAGTTCTTTTCTTAGCAACGACCTCAGACATAATACACTGTCAATCACAAGTTTTCTCAGTTCTTCCTTTAACCCTATTTTTTCTTTTTTAATAACTCTTTTTATAATAAAATTATTATTTATTTTTTTTAGTTATATATAACTAAAATATTTCAATAAAAAACTTTATTTTTAAAATAATTTTTAGTTTTCTTATTATTCAGTTTAACTTTTTAATAAAATGTCTGACACAAATACTTTTCTTCATTTTTGCTTAATTCAAAAAGATACTTCTAAATTTCTAGTACTGCCATCATTACCAAACCCTTTTAATTATGATATCAAAGACTTAGTGTTTTATAGTTGTTCAGATGTACCATCATGTCAAATACAAATTCACTTTCATCCATCAAGAGATATTTATGGAATTCCATTAGGGGTTATCAGTTGTTCATTGTCATCAAAAATTTCAGTTGCCATTTTAACAAACTCACCTTTTTTAACATATTTTTCAACAAGACTACAAAGAATTAGTCAATTTTTTTTAACACAACCAGGTATTTCTAAAGAAATATTTATTCAAGGATATAATTTATTAGTTAGTAGTGTTGTTCCATCTCCTGCACCAATTGAAATTGAAACAGCATTTGGAGTAGACCAATCGTTAACAAGATTATTAAATAAATATTCATTAGAATTTCCATCGTTATTAAAATTATTATTAATAGAAAATAAAACTATTTTTTTAAGTACTGATGATTCAAGTAGTTTAATGATGTATGCATTGACAAACTGTATGCCAGGATTAATTACACCATTTACTGATATTTTATCAATTTGTGGAGTTGATGTAATAAATCCATTATTAGAACTTTCATTACCATTTAAAAATTATTCAACAAATTCATTATTTTTCTCTCTTCCATTAGTTTCATTAAATAAAATAATTGGAAATCAAACAGGATTTATGGCTGCTGTATGTAGTTCTATATTAAGAACACGAAGTGAAAATATTGATGTTATTGTTGATATTGATAATTCAAAATTAATTTGGAATAATAAACAACTCCAAAAAACTGTTTCTTGTACATCAAGTGATAAAAAATTTTCTAAATATTTAATTGATAAAATAAGACAACACAAATCACTTCATACGTATGAAGGAAGTGAACATTGGTTATTAATGAAAAGTGCAATATATATAGTACAATTTTTATCAACTATGTGTTCATTTGATATATTTTCAGATAATGAAACACAGTTAAAAAATATTCCTAAGTGTCAAGATTATGGAATTGATTTTATAAATGGTTTTTGTAAAACTAAAGGATTTTTTGAATGGAAAAAATCTCTCACGTTATCAGGTAAAGCAAAAAAAATGACAGAATTATTTGAACCAAGTCATCCATGTAATAATTTATATAATGAATCTAAACAAAAATTAACCCGAGGTACTATTTATGATTATGAACAACTCTTTAAAATGGATGTTTTAATTCAAAAATCTGAAATACAACCAAGAAATATGACTACTAATGAAATAGACTTAGAACTAGATGATTCAATTGATTTGTAACTTTCTTCAATCTAAGTTTCAAAAAGAATTTGTAAATTCAATTGAAAATTACTAAATGAACTAATTTAATTTTAAAATAAAATTTAAATTAGACTACTTCATTTGTAAACAATCAATCAATATTTCATTTTCATTAAATCACCGAAACTTCCACCACATGAAAGAAAATGACAACGTTTTTCAGTTTCAGTTTTTCCTCTATTCATAATAATTTGAAAAATTTTATCCGTATCATTTGAAACAAGAATTTGCTATTACTTTTATTAATTAATTTCTTCTAAACATTTTAAAATTTACAAACATCTTCCTCACATGTCCATGGAATAACTTTTCCTTCGCTAAAAAATTTCTTTGTTAATTCAACATCACCACTACACGCATATAACGCATAAATTACTACTCTCTCATCTACACCAAATTGGTTCTTTAACTCTGCTATAATCTTTTGAACATATGCATTTCTATCTTTATCTGAAGCTGGTCGATTCATTTGAAGAACATGTTGTTCATATGGTGAACAACATTCAGGAATTTCTCTCACTCCTCTTAGGTATGGGTCCATTAAAATATCAGGTGTGGGTGATGGAGTAGGTGTAATAAATCCATTCTCATAAATATCAGCATCTCCCATCGTCATAATTGATCTAAATATTCCTATTTTATTTTTTTAGTTTTTCTCTTTTTTAATTCTAAAAAAGAATAAAAAATTCATAATTTTATTTAACAAAACAAATTTGTAACGAAGATACTTCTAAAATCAGTTCTACAATAATTTATTTAAAAAAAAAAAGAAACTTAAATACATAGAAAATATATTAAATATAATTAAGTAATTATCATAAAAGTTCAACATATAAAGAAAATATAACTTGAAACTTTATAAATAATTTTTATAAATTAATATTAAAATTATTAAAAAATAATTTTGTGATAAATTTTATTAAAAAACAAAATATTTGAATTATAATATAAATAATAAATATATTATAATAAATCATAATATTTAACTTAAAAATACGAAATCTTGAATTATTAATAACAATAATTTATAAATAATAATTACATTTAACATTATTCATTCATTAAATGAATTTTTAATGAAATTAAAAGTAATGACAACGTTTTAAATTAAACTTTTTGGGTGGTAATAAAAAAATGGGAAAACTTATAAATAACAACAAAGAAAAAATAGAATAACGCAAATGATAGGCAAAAATTCTATCAGAATAGGCATTATTTTAAGATCAAACTCTGTTATCATTTTATAAAAACAAATGAATGTTATTGTTTTATTTCTATTATGTTCATTGTCTAATAGTGAGACTTGTTCTCGTAAACCAGTTATTTTAATTCCAGGAATAATGTCGTCTATACTTGATATTAAATTAAATATTAGTAAAACTGATGAACATTTTGAAAAAAAATGTAAAAAAGTTGAAGATTGGGAACGGTTTTGGGCATCATATAAACTTGCTTCTGAATGTTATTTAGAATATATGCATTTGCAATGGGAAAATAAAACAAAACAAATGAAAAATTATGACGGAATAGAAATTAGAGCACCTGATTTTGGAAAAACTTATGCTGTTGATACGTTATGGCCTGAAATTCCATGGAAGAAAATTACTGGAATATGGAGAAAATTTATTAGTCATTTAGAAGAACTTGGATATCGTGATGGAGTTGATATGATGGCAGCTCCTTATGACTGGAGATTTTCTCAATCTAAAGTAATTGATATATGGCTTGAACAAACAAAACAACTCCTTCTTAATTCTTATAAAATAAATGGGAAAAAAACTGTATTAATTTCATCTTCTATGGGAGGGTATATGGCGTATAGACTATTAGACTATCTTGGAAATGACTTTTGCAATCAATATGTTGATCAATGGATTGCAATTAGTATGCCTGTTATGGGGTCAGGAGTTGCTGTAAAAATGATTACTGTTGGTGAGGATTTACTTCATTTAAATTTACCAATTGATAGATTACTTAAAGTAATTCGATCAATTGAATCGGTTGTAGGACTATTACCTATAGACACATTATGGAATAAAGATGACTTATTAATGGAAATTGAAAGTACTGGAGAACGTTATACCGTTGGTAATATTACTCAATTTATTCAAACTATTCCAACAATAAATGAATTTGGTGTTTATGTTTATGAAAATACTTTAAAACCATATTATGAAAAAAACAATTATAAAGTACCAAATCAAGTACCTTTAAATTGTATCATCTCAGGTGGAATTGAGACTGCTGCATCAATGTCATTCAAAAAGTCACTTGATAGTTTGTATACAATTAATTATACAGATGGAGATGGAATGGTAAATATTAATTCTTTAAAAGCCTGTTCGATGTTTACTTCTAACGTAACTTATATTGGTAAATCAAGTCATAACGATATTCTTAAGAAAGATGAATGTTTTTCAGTAGTAAAGCCATTAATTTGTGGATAAAAAATCAATTAAATAAGAGTTAATATAATTAAAATGAATTTAAATTTAATCATAATAAAGTTTTTAATATCAATTAATCTAAATAAATAAATTTTTATTAAAACAAAAATAAAATTATTTTAAAAAAAAAAAAGGATAAATAACTTAAAAAATAATTTTGAATAGAATAATGACATTAAAAGCATTGAAAGTATGTGAAAATCTTTATTGGGTTGGGGCTCTTGATAACGACTTAAGAGTCTTTGATATTATTATGTCAACACCATATGGAACATCATATAATTCATTTTTATTAACAACAAGTGAAGGGAATATTTTATTTGAAACTGTTAAAGAGAATTTTGCACAAGAATGTCTTAGTCGTGTTGCTGATGTGATTGGAGAATCTGGTAAAATTGATTACATTGTCTGTAATCATACAGAACCAGATCATAGTGGTTCATTAGTTCATATATTAGAAAAATTTCCACAGGCTACTGTTATTGCTACATTTGCTGCACTAACAAATATTAAATATATTGGACATATTACAAAGAAAACTAAAACTATTGATAGTACAAAAAATAAACAATTCAAATTAGGACAATATACTCTTAATTTCTTTATTCAACCATTTTTACATTGGCCAGATACTATGATGACTGTTATCCCTGAATTAAAAGTTCTCCTTCCGTGTGATGTTTTTGGTGCTCACTGTGCAGATCCAAGAGTATTTAATGATGAAATGATGGATAGAATTAAGGATCTTGAGGATGCATATAAACACTATTTTGATTGTATCTTTGGGCCATATACTTCATTTGTTCTTAAAGGAATTAACATACTTGAAAATAATATTGGATTTCCAGTTGATGAACTTAAAGCTATTTGTTGTAGTCATGGACCAGTATTAAGAACAAACATTAAAGAAAATATTGAAAGATATAAAAATTGGTCACAACCAAAAGTATTAAAAGACCGTGTTATTATTGCCTATGGATCAGCTTATGGATATACTGAAATGATGGCAGAAAAAATTGCAGAAGGAGTTAAGTCAGTTGGAGTAGAAGTCATTATGCATAATATTGTTACGTCATCTGTTGACGCTATCTTAAAAGACTTTGAAAATTCTAAAGGGTTATTGTTAGGAACTCCAACACTTGTTGGTGAAGCACTTCCACAAATGTACATTATTCTTGCTCATTTAAATCCAATTATTCATTGCAGTAGATACGTTCAATGTTTTGGAACTTATGGGTGGAGTTGTGAAGGAGTAAGAAATTTATCAGTAAGGATTGACCAATTAATGGTAAGAAGACCTGTCCAACCTTTATCTTTTAGATTTAAACCTACTGAAGAGAATCTTAAAGAATGTTTCGAGTGGGGAAAAACTTTTGCTACTGCATTATTACAAAACAAAGAATTTGTTTCTGAGTAATTGGCAGTGTTTTTTTCATAACTTTTTAGTAAGTTTTTATTGAATGAAAAGGGAATATTTTTAATTTAATAGGAAATTATTGAACTTAAATTCCTTAAATGGATTTACCATATATAACTAAATACTTAATTCATAACTCTCAATTACAAGCAGGTGGTCATCAAGGGTGTATTACTAAACAAGGGAATTGTCTTATCAAAAAGATTAGTTATAAAAGAGTTTGTTTAGATTCTTCTTTTATTTTTTACATACTTATTACATAATAACCTTTTTGGAAAGGAATTAGAGTTTTATTTAGAAAATAAAGATTTAATAGATTGGATAGGATTAATTCCACACTTTTTTAATTCTTTTACATTAAACAATGACACTTTCATTTCAATAGAAAATATTATTTATAGATATTCAAAACCATGTGTATTGGATATTAAAATAGGAAATAAAACATGGTGTGATGAAACTGAAGAAAATAGAAAAAAAGAACGAATAAAATTAGATACTTTAACAACACAAAATATACTTGGATTTAGATTCTGTGGAATGACAATAACACAAAAAGATGGTTATTCATTTTCAATAAATAAAAAAATTCATCTTGAAATTCATTCTAGAGAAGAAACAATTAAAATATTGTCATTATTCATTCATCAATTAGGGTCTCAAAAAGATAAAATTATTAATTATTATATTCAACAAATGGAAAAGATTAAAAACTGTATTCAAAAAATGAAATATCACTTTTTTTCAAGTTCATTACTCTTTGTTTATGACGCTGAGTCTTATCAATGTGATTGTAGATTGATAGACTTTTCACACTACTATAATATGTCAACTCATATATCAAAAATAGATGATGGTGTGATTGAAGGAATTAACACATTATCTTCATTATTCACAACTATTTAAACTATTTTAAAATAAAATGAAACAATTAATTTAATTTTTTGGTTCTTTAAAACAATAATCTTATTCAATAATAGATATTTCCACATTTAAAATTTACAAAATCAGAACATTTTAGAACAACACCTATAGAAGCATTTTGATGATTAATTGGATTCAATAACGTTTCTCCCTTGGACCCAAGCCATACAATTTCATTATTTTCAAATACAAATCCAAGTTCTGGATCAAGACAATTCCATGGTGATCTATTAACATAAATTAAATCATCAATTACACCTGCATGACATGTATATCCTGGTTGAATTATTGATAAAACAAACATTAACCCACCAAACAGGATAGAGATAATAATAAACACATTGAATATTTTTAACCAATCACCATAAAATTGACCAATAATCCATATAACCAAAACAACTATACTGTAAATTCCAATAAATTGAATTGAATAACCAAAAAGAAAACTTAATGAACCACATATAATTCCAAATACAATACATCCTGAAACTCCAAATTTTGTTGTCTCTTTATTTACACTAACATTCGATGAACGAGATGAATACCATAACCCAACACTAAGTAAAGCAAAATATCCCCAAATAAAAGGAAGCGAAGGATATAATATTGATAAAATAACACTAAGTATAGTAATAATAATAGCACTAGGTAAGGTAATGTATCGTGGTCCAAGAGAAAATGAAAAATCTACAGTAAATTGGTTAATTGTTTGTAATAAGTTGTTTGACTCTTCTAGTAACTTAACAGCAAGGCCATATGAATTTTGTAAAGGTATAATTTCTTTATCTAATTCTTTGACCGCTTCAACAATAAAAGGAATAAGACTAATAGGATCAATAGATAAATACCCACTTTCATCTTCATGGACTAAATCAGGGAATTGTTCTTTTAATTCTTGAGCTATAAAACCATAAGTCTCTGCATCAGCAACATCATACGTATACATCTTACCAGTAACGTTAAGTAGTCTTTCTAATGCATTTCTAATTGGTGCAACTTTTGTTTTTGTTCTTGAGTCACTTCGTTGAAAGAAACCATTTTCTGCAAACACTGCACCAAAAATATGAAGTTGTTTTAACGAAGGAGAAACTTGAAGTACTTTAATAAAATCATCAATATTTGTTGAACAAAATAATTGAGGAGGTGTTTGAGATAATTTAGGAGGTGAAGTTCTTTGAACGATTGGAGGTAGATCATTAAAATCTGAAATTTCGTGACCAACCAATGACTCTGAAGGAGGAGATAAAGTGTCAATTTGATTTTCAGAAGAATGAGTAAGATTATTTGGGCTGTTAGTTGAAACTAATGAAGTGGTTAAAGGAGAATCATTTTTTTTGTTACTTTGTTTAGTGACAAGAGGATATTTTCTTTTGCGAATATTTATTTCATCTGGTACAAATTCAATGTACTTTTCACACATTTCTTTTGGTAATTCTTTATTTTCTAAATTTTTAAATGCAACTCCACCATACTCAGTATATATAAATTTAAGATGTGCGTCCCATACATGTGATGTACAATTGTATTTAGTTTTTGCTGGTTCATTACAACCAGGATAGTTACATTTCCAATCTTTATAACGAATTCTTTGTTTAGAAGGACTTTTAGTTTGATTTTTCATTCTACCTTTTTGATTTTTTTAATAAATTTTTTTATTTTTTTTTTAAATAATAAAAATATAAAAATTCATCATTTCTTTGATAAAGTTGTTTTTTTTTATTATTATTATTTTTAAAAAGTATTAAAAACTAAATTTCTTGTATTCTTTTAAATTAAAAATTTAATCATTTTCAACTCCTGTTTCAGGAACTTGTGATGAAACTGATGCTTCAATACTTTCTTCAGTTGTGTTAGTTGTTGAGACTCTTTCTGAAGAAGGGTCTTTTGATTTTGTTTCAGTTTTTGTTGAAGCAGATTGATCTTTATGAGAATCTGATTTTGATTTGTCATTAACTATCTTAAACTTAGAATCTAACATTATACCAATTTCTTTGAATGTAGGTCTTTCTGATGGACTATGTCTCCAAGACTGTTCAATAACATCTTTTAATAAACAATCATCAGCAATATCAATTCTTTTTCCAGCACCTACAAATCTTAAAATTGAATCAGAATCAGGGAACTTTGCTGGATCATAAGGATCTCTTCCTAACCAAATTTCTAACATACAAATAGCAAATGAATATACATCTGATTTTAATGTCATTTGATCTTTTCTACTAATTTCTGGTGCCATATATACAGGTGTACCAATATTTTGTAAAGCTATTTTTCCAGATGATTCAATAAATGAACGAGAAGTACCAAAATCAGTAACTTTAGCAGTAATAGGATCATGTGGATTTTTAGAATAAACTAAAACATTATCAGTTTTTAAATCACGATGAAGAATATCATTTTGATGTAAATATTCCATACCACGTGCTATATCTTGACAGAATCTAACTTTTAATAAATCAGTTAATGGATTTATTTTCATGAATTTTCTTAATGAACCTAATGGACAAAATTCTGTTACAAGACATAATGTATCAGGTGTAGTAACACTTCCAATGAAATTTACAATATATGGACAACGAATACGTTCCATCATTTCTGCTTCTTGACTAAAATTAGGTAATAATTCAGCTAATCCAACTAAATCAGTTTTCATTACTTTAACTGCAACATCAACTCTTCTCCATTCAGCACGATAAACAATACCAAATGTACCACCACCAATAGGTGGATGTTGTAAGTGAATTTCTTCATAATCTAATTTAGTAGAAAGAGCAGATTCAACTTGGAGATTTAAATAAACATGGAATTTAGATATTTTAGATTTTCCTTTTTTCTTCTTCTTTGTAGAAGTTTCAGAGTCTGATTTAGATTTTGTACTTCCAGAAGCATGAGATTTTGAAGGATGAGACTTTTGACCATTAGAAGATAATTGTTTAGAAGAAGAATTAGCATTATTATTTGCTGATGAAAGAGAACGACCACCCTCACTTTCACTATTTTGACTAGATTGAGAATTTTGAGCAATTAAATCAGGATTTTCTCTTTTAATATCTTTTAAGATATTTCCTAATTGACCATATCTTAAAGTAATTGGTACTTTTTCATTTAATAATGTAGTACATTTAGCCATAAATGTAATATTTAATTCAACATAATCACCTGGTCTAATAGTACCAGTAAATGGTTTACACATAATTTCATATTTTGTATAATCACCAGAATGGAATGTAAAATGTAATGGTTGTTTCCAATTATTAGTTAATACAATTTTAGTTTCAACTGGATCATTAATTTCAGGTCTTAAATCAGGAAATTCAATAACATTAGAAGAGAATGAGAAATAATCATTTTTGGTTTTAATATCAATAAATTGTGAATTTGTTTTATCAAATGGAATAACAGTATTTTCGAATATTGTCATCTTTTCATCTTCTATTTCTTGTTTTATCTTTTTAGTTAATCTGAGGTACATTATTAAACAAATTATATATCCAATAATATAAATAAAGAGATAAACACATGCCCCTATTCCCCAGAAAAGGAAATTCTTCATTGCTTTAGAAAGTCTTGTACAGTCTGCTTGTTTATTTTCAAACCAATCTTCTTGACATTCACATTCAACACATCCATCTCCTCCATCACATTCTTCTCCTTCATCCCATTTTTTATTTCCACATGTAGCGGGAATACATCCAAGTCTAGCTTTTGCATATTTGCTTGTTCCATCAACGCAAACACAATGATCACATCCATATCCTCCATCACATTCTTCATATTCATCAATTTTTCCATTTCCACATGTTGGAACTGCACATTTAATTTCAGTTTTTCCATTATATGAAAGAGACATTGGTGAAGTACCATAAGCACAGTTACATGAATCAGTACATTGTGTATCATTAACACCTGAAGACAAATCACAATCTTCGTTAGCATCAACAACACCATTACCACATTGTGTACATCCATCATCTTTAAAAACGTATCCAGGTTTACATTCACACCTACCAGAATAAGCAGAACAAATTCCATTTTCACCACAATTTAATGGACAAGTAGTGTTAACTGTTAAAAGAACTTCTGCAGAGTATTCTTCATTAATTCCGAGAAATAAAAAATAAGTATCACCTTCAGTTAAACCAACAACCATTTTAGCTAATTTAGAATTAGTTCCACATCCATCTGAACGTGATTTAACACATTCTACAGAATCAGATGATTCACAGTTAATTGAACCTGCTTCAGCACTAGAAGTATCAACACTAGCTTTTATAAGATCTAAAGAAACATCATAATTTTCTGATTGACAAGTAGAAATAACAATTGTTTGTTCAGCACCTTTAATTCTAAACCAAAATCCTTTAATAAGATCTTTAGAACAAATAGAACGAGAGTTAAGGGTATGTTCTAAATTAACTGTTCTTGAATATCCATCACCAGCAATATCATTCCAATCAATATCATAATAATTATTAGAACATGGGTGTTTAACTTTAGTAAAGAAAATTTGAAATTCAGTCATTAAAGATGATGCATATTTCTTATGAACAAAGATGTATTGAGTTGCTCCAGCGTTCATCCAAGTAACAATTCTAGGAGATAAAATGTATTCACTTAATCCTCCATTTCTATATAAACAATTAACTTTATCTCTCAAATTTGTACCACTAATACAATCTTCTTGAATTATAATTCCAAATTCATTTCCTTCTTTTTGTTCTTGAAGTTGAGCAAGAACTAAATCATCTCTATTATATTGTTTATCAATTGAAATAGAAATATAAGTATCTTCTTGTCCAGCTGGTAATGTTACTTTTAAGTATTGACCATAAGTATACGGTTTAGTTGGGTGTACATAACGAGTACATCTATTAATATATAACTGTTCAGGTGCTACTGGAACAACGTCTTTTTTAATTTGTTTCATAGTACTTGTGAATTCTAATTTAATTTCATACTGAGAAGTATCACTAGAACTAGTAAACACATCACCACATCCTTTTACTTTGTCAACTTGAACCTCTTTGCATTTTCCTTCACCATACCACATGTATGTATCATTACATCCTTGACAATCAGAAGTATACCCTAAACTTTCATCACATACTTCACATATATCTGGAGCAAGACAACCAGTAACACATGCACTTCCATACATACAAGAAATAATACAATGCCCATTCCCATCAGCGCTATATCCATCTATACATAAACAATCATTCCCACACCCAGTAGTACTATCACATTCTTCATTATAAGAATCCCATATACCATCTCCACAAACTATTTGTCGGTTAAATTCTGTTTCATTGACATCAACAGCATAGGTAAGCAAAAAAAGAAGAGGTCTATTGTGTTAGTGACTAAAACGTTTTAAAAAAAAAGGGAAGTAACTAACAAACAAAAGAACCATTTAAAATTTTTTAGACCCTTCTTTTATTTAAAAATTTAATGTTTTTAATTAGACTATTTTGATAATATAGAAACATTCATTGATTTGATTTTAATTTTTTTCTAAAAATTCTTTGTTTCAATTCCTTACTTATTTTTATTTCTGGTTTCTATCGTTCTCTTCTTTATTCTCCTCTTTCTTAACCAAAAGCAGTAATTTTATTTTTATCTCACGTAATAAAAGATCAAAAAAATTTTTAATTTTAAATTATTAAATGTTTTTCTCTTTTTTTGATTGATTTTTCAAATCATTATTAGCTTGCTTCTTTAGTAGAAGGAACGAATTAAAAAGGGTATAAGAAAATGGTTACTTCTTTTTTATAATGGAAAGCCAACTAGTAGAACCTAAAAAATATATATACAAGACCAAATTTATTCTTTTCAATAACTTTTATTTGAAATTAAATAATAAGAACTTATAATTAAATACTTAGGTACTTTACTTTTGTTTTTAGTTAAGATTTAGAAAACAATATTCTGTGAGGCTTACTCTTATTCTCTCTTAATTTACCCAAGTTAATAATGATTAATTAATAAGTATTACAAAGGTGTATTAATTTTATAGAAAATACAATTAGTTCATTTGAAGACTTTTTGTAAAAACGTCAACAATTTGATTTGCATTATATCGTTCTTTTGGGTTTTGGTTCCAGCAATGCTCAATCAGATCAAAGAGCCAATCATCAATGACCTCATCTTTTTTAGGCCGTTTTCCTTCACTTATAAAATCTGCAATTTCCCATGGGTATTTAAATTGTTCTTTTGGAAAAGGGTTTCTCCAAATTGATACTTCATACATTGTAATGGCAAATGAATAAATATCAGAAGGTAATTTATAGTGTTCTTTTTTCAATACTTCTGGTGCCATATACATTGGTGTCCCAACTCCTTTAGTAAATGTCATATTTGTCATTAACATATTAATATTTCTCGATGCTCCAAAATCTGTTAATTTACAATTAACTTGTATCTTGTTCTCTAGTGATACAACAAGGAAATTATCTGGTTTAATATCACGATGTAATATTCCATTTTGATGAAGATATTGAATTCCATGGGCTGCATCAGAAAGTAATTTGATGATCATATTATTTTCAATTCTTTTTTCATGTTTATGCATTAAATCACTTAAAGACCCATACTTAGCAAATTCTGTTACCATACATATTTTATTATGAATAAATACTGCACCATAGAAATGAATGACATATTCATTTCTAAATTTGTCTAACATTGTTACTTCTTTCTCAAATTCTTCCATTTGTTTTTCTTCATCAAGAGATATTTTCATTTTCTTAATTGCTACTTTATTACCTCTAAAATCTCCAAGATATACTATTCCAAATGACCCTTCTCCTAATTTCTTTTCTTCTTTTAATTCTTCATAATCAAGTCGTGTTGTTAGTTCTGTTTTAAAGGAAATACCAATACGAGCTTCATATTGTTTTCCTTTCTTCATATCTAATCCTAAAAGAACAAGGGAATCAACTACTGTTGTTGTACATAACGGTTGAATGAATATACTAAATTCAACTGCTTTTCCTTTATCGATGGTAATTAGTGAGGGATCACTTCTTATACGATATTTATCAATATTAGTTTTAGTAGTAATTTGAACTTTTAGTGTATGAGATTTTTTATTTCCAATACACAATAAATCCCTTGATTCTTCTCCAACTGGAATAGTGTCAGTCATTCTATCAATAGTAAATGTAAGTTCTTTTTTATTAACACATAACCCACTTTCTTTATCCACATCTTCAAATAATATATTACAACGACTCATATCAAATTCACAAATCTTCTCCTCTCTTTCTTTTTTCTTTCTTCTTGTTTGAATAATAAATATGAGAAAGATGATTATCAATATTATAACAATTATAATTGCTAAACATCCTGCTATTGGAACACCAATAAGAACTAAATTATTGGCTGCATATTCACATTTTGAACCATCTTTACTTGGTTCATGCCATCCTTTACATGATGTACATCTTGAGTTAGATGCTGATATGCAATTTGGAATGTCTAAATATTGTATACACTTACCACTATCTAACACATGATTTTCATGACATTTAGTACATTGATTTGCAGAGTTGGTGCATTGAGAACAAGTGCTATTACATTTATAACATTTTTTATAAGTTAGTGATAGGTATGTGCCACTTTCACAAGTCACACATCCATCATATTCTGAGGCAACACAATAGTCTAATGTTTTATTGGACAAACACTTTGACGTTTCTATATCGAAATAATAACCTCCAGTAAAGTTACAAGAAAGACAATTAAATGCATTTTGATTACAGGTCAAACATGATTCGTTACATGGAGCACAACTTTTATATATTTGGTAAAAGCCATCTTTGCATATTGCACAACCTGAGGCATCAGGGAAAAATGTTACACACCTTTCTACCAATGAGCCAAGAGATTCACAGGTATTATTTTCTGTTAATTTATATCCAAAATTACATGTTGTACAATTGGTTTTAGTTCCATAACAAGTTGCACAATTTAGATCACACACCTGACATAAATTGTATTGGTCTAAAAACTTACCTTCTTCACACCTCAAACAACCAGTAGTTGTTGTGTCTGTGCAATACTCAAAGTCTTGACTTGAATTACATACCCAAGTTCCAGTTTCATTTCTTAATAAATTATACCCTTCTAAACATTCTTGACATTTCCCTCCAACAATAAACCCACAACTCTCTTCAATAATATCAATACAATTTCCGTTTTCATCTAATTTTTTTCCTTCAATACATTTTGCACACATTGTTGTTATTGTTGAAATTATGGCACAATCATCTTGAGCTTTGTTGCATATTCCATCGTTTGTTTTATAATAACCAGAAGAACATATAAGACATATTGATGATTCTGGTGATTCAGAAGAAGGAATACAACTATCGCAATTAGGTTTACAAATAGTACATTTGTTTCTATGGAGATAATAGTTTTTTTCACATGAAGAACAAGTGACACCTTTAAATTGAGTGCAGTGAGTGTCATCAGAACATACTGGACTAATACTGTTTCCATCTACAACTCCAGAAGAAGAATTACAGTTAAGGCATTTAGTTCCTTCTAATATTGAAGGTAAAACACAACTTTCACACGAATCGTTACAGATACTGCATTGAGGCACACTCTCACTATTCATATAATATCCATCTTTACACTTCCAACACTTTCCTCTCCACTCAAACAAACATTGAGAAGTTTCTTGTTTATAAGTAGATATTGTTGGTAGTTCATAATAACCTACTCCTTCACCTGAAGTTTGATTAAAGAATGATAAAGAGGTAGTTCTTGTAAATGCATCACAAATACCACTTGGTGAAATAGACGATAAGCAATTGTCACAACCAATTTCATCTTCACTATCATGTTGAATACAATACTCTTCATTAGAATATAACGTGCATTTTCCTGATCTTAAAACATAATTCTGTTCACATTTAAGACACGTTGTATTTGATATATAAATCGTACAATGCTCTGGAGCTTCTACACACTCATTTGGTCGAATTACTTTCCCATTGCAAGGCTTACATTCTCCTCCATTGTTAGTTAAATAAAACCCATCACTACATATAAAACATTCTGTCCTTGAATTACAGAAACTACAATTTGGAATATAAGAGTTACATTGGACACATTTAGTACTATCTTCATTTATAATTGTTCCGTCAGGACATGTAACACATTTACCACTTTGTAATACAGTACTTTTAGAGCACAAAGTACATGTGTTTGGTCCAGAACATGTAACACAATCATTGATATCGCATTTGACGCATTTCTTTGAGTCTAAATAATATCCTGTTAAACATTCCAAGCATTCAGTCGAGGTAGTTGAACATTTTAAACATCCACTAATAACAGTTCCACATAATTCACATCCCTTTGTTGCATTAAGTGTATATGAAGATTTACAATTCAAACAACCATTATTGTCATCACATGAAAGGCAATATTCACCACAACTAATGCATGTATCTGAAGATAAATAATATCCTTCTAAACATTCTTTACATATTAACTTCTCTTCGGTTTTAGTACATGTAGTGCAAGAATCATCACATGGTTTACAACTACTTTCATCAAGATAATACCCAGTATTGCACTCTGAACAATTATTTGAAGAACAAATTTTACAATTATTAATAGTACTACAACCAACACAATATCCATCATGTAAACTAAATCCAGGGCTACAAATAGAACATTTATTTAAAGTAGAATCACATTCTAAACATCCTACAGACTCACAAGTAACACAATCACCTTTGATATTCAAAAATCCTGATGAACACAAAGAACAAGATGAAGAGTTACATTTAGCACAATTAGAAGAACACTTCAAACATTGAGAAGAGTGAAGATAATATCCATCAGTACATTCTGTGCATATTGTACTTGATGAAGGGTCACATTTAGAACACCCAATAAAATCAGTACCATCGTTACAACTAACACACTTTCCATCAGAAATACGGAATTTGTTTGAATTGCATTTACTACATCTCCCATTAGAATCACAAATCTCGCAGTTTGCAATATTATGACAAGAGTCACAAGTGTTAGTTGTTGTATTCAAATATACATTCTTTGACGATTCACAACCCAGACATTGACTTTCCTTGGAACAAATAGAACAATTATCAGTTAGTTGAGAACATGGAAGGCATTCTGATATATTAGGATAATAATATTCATTCTTACATTCTTGACAAACTAATTCCAATGGAGAACAGAGATCACAATTAGGAATAGCTACAGAACACAAAGTACATACAGAATTTAATAAAGTATAACCTTTCTTACAAACAGAACATTTATTTGTAGTTGAACTACACGATTCACAATTAGGATCTATTTGAGAACATGTCTTACATGTTTTACCAATTAAGAAATAGTCATTAGAACATTTGTTGCAAGATTTTTCTGTTTGACTACAATCAATACAACCAGTCAATGAATTACATGACAAACAATGAATTGGAGATGCTGGATAATGATCTGAATTGCAACTAAGACAAGAGGTTGAATTACACGTAGAGCAATTTTGGTATTTAGAAGAACATGGTGTACATTTTCCTGATTCTAATATATAAGAATTGTTCACACACTGAGTACATAATCCGTTTGTTGTACATTGGTTATCTTGGCATCCCGGAATATCACTACATTTTTTGCATGTAGTTCCATCTAAATAATACCCAGAATTACATTCAGAACATTCTTTCTCTGATGAGCATGAACTACATGAATTTGGACATAGTGTACATTCTTGTGTGTTTGAGAGATAATATCCATTCTCACACACAGAGCATCTATCACTTGATGAGTCACATAATTTACAATGAAATAATTTAGAACAAGGCTGACACACTCCATTACTAATCGTCATATTCCTATCGCATAATGTGCATGAATTAGTGCTACAAGTATAACACTCACCATTTCCATTAAAAGTACTACAAGATTGACAAATAGAAGATGAAGTTAAATAATAACCATCAGTACATTCAACACAAATGTTCTGACTACTTCTTTTACAATTTTTGGTTGAAGCAGCAACACAAATGTTATTTTCTAAAAGATAAGAATCTAAACAAGTGACACATTTATTAGACTCATATTCTTTACAATTTGGTATTGTAATACATTGATTATCTTCTAAATATCCAGATGAACAAACTGTACATTCTTTAACACCAAGTTGATTCGATGTTGTTTGGCTCATACAACTAGAACACCCAACAATATCAGAGCAATTTTTACAATCAAAACCAGAAGGATAGAAACCATCCTCACATACTGAACAAACAGTAGACCCATATAACACTTTTGATGCCTTACAATTTTCTACAACATATTCTACTCGTGCACAATAACTTCCATTCTTTATATACCCTAACATACAATCCCAACACTGATAATTACCATTCCCTCGGCAGTGAGCATCAATAGCACTAATACAAAAACCATCACGCACTTTAATGGCACCTTCCCAACAACCAACAGACTTTAAACAATACTTCCCATTAATGAGTTGATAATTACTTTCACAAGAAATACACCAATCGTTTTCTGATTTTAAACAGTGTGCAGATGAAGGAACAACACATTGCCTCTCACTATTAAATATAGTTCCACTTTTACAATTGTAACAAACACCCTCATTTGAACAAAGACCATTCTCACAACTAGAAGGACATTCTGAAAATGAATTTCTGTAAAAAAGAGTTTTTAAAACTAAATCAAGAAAGCAACAAACTGATACACTTACCATCAACAAGATAATATCCATCATTGCACAAACCACAACTGATAGTCCAAGTGTTATCAGGTGAATTGCATTTTTTACAATTAGGAAAATAATCACCACATGCCTTACAAACACCATTATCTAACTTATAATTATTCTTACAATTATAGCAAATAGGAAAACCTTCATTACATTCAGTACAGTTCTCAGGACCTAGTTTAATTAATAAAATTTGGTTTGTATTTAAGAAGAGAACAAACAGCCTATTTTTTTAGACAGTAATGTAACCACAAAAACGAATAGTAGCATAAAGGTTAATAAGTTTAAAAAAAAAAAGAATTTTTAACTAAAATAATAATTAATTCTAAAAATAAATATATTTTAGTATTATTACTAATTTAATTAAATTTATAAATTAAACTTTATTAAAATAGAATACCTATAAATTTCTAACAATTACCAACTTCTCTAAGTTTATTAATTGAAAATACTCAATCAATTATGTTTTATTTCTCTTGCTCTTTTCGTTTTGTTTCATTTTCTTTTTGTTCAGGTTTTTCTGCACGTAATTGAATTGGCCTTCGGGTTATGATTGAATCAATTCCTTGAGAAGCAAGATAAATACCCATTACAGAAAAAATATAAGGTAATCCACCTTCTCCTTGACCATCTTCCCCATAAATACATCTAACCTTACGACGAATATTTTCTTTATATAGTGCAGATTTAAATTCAGTTGCTAATTTACTTTTTTTTACTCTTTCAATATTTTTTATTTGAACTTGGGTTGAATCAAATAGTCCATAACCTCCAAGTACACAAAATACTTTTTTTTGAAATTCTAGTCCTATTTTACATGCTTCAACTGCAAATTTATGATCTTCTATTCCTATTAGAATAATATCATTTGAGGAAATATACGTTTTCATTAACATTGAATCATATGGCTTATTAATTAATGTAATTTTTGCTTCAGGATTAATTAACAATAATTGTTCTTGTTCGTTCTTTTGATCTACAGTAAATGCATGTAATGAGAGTGAAATATCATTATTCATTTCTGGATAATATAAAGTTAAATTAGTTACGCCTGCTCGGATTAAATACTCACTTGTATAAGATAAAGATGGATGATTACCAATAATCAAAAAGTTTGTGGTTTGAATGGTTTTATAATTGTCTTCTCCAACTAATAATTTAGTACGAATATCCCAAGTGTCTGTATTATTTTGCATTTATTAAACTTTTACAATTTATAGTTTTATCTTGAAACTAAAAATAAATTAAAATTTTATTAAAATTTATTATTAAAATTATTTAATGATTGAGTTTAATTTCTGCATCAAATTTATGGGAAAGAGTTGATTGTGGTAATTCAATTGTTATATTTAACATTCCTTCTTGATTCATTTTGATAAATAAATCAACTCTAGATCCTTTATGACATTTACCTTCAATATCAACACATAGAGTCCCAATAAAATTACTTGGAAGTGGAATTTTTGTATCTCTGTATAAATCAAGTTGAATACTTTTCTGGTTTTCATTAGGTAATACAAATTCATATCTCCCTGTAAATGGTAATTTACTTTGTTCAGGAATAATTGTTTGGACTGTTCGAATTCCAAATAATTGATTATATGTTGCAATTCCAACAGAATAAGTAGCAACTTCTGTACTACTTGTTTTAGCTTTTTGCTTTAATTCTGCACATTTAATTGCAGCTCCTCTTGAAACTGCAAATAATGGATGGTCAGAAAGAGTCGGTTTTATACCAAACCTCTGTTGAATCATTTGAGAAATGTATGGAATAGAAGAAGTACCACCTACCATAAGAATTTCACTAATGTTAACATTTGCCATATCAATAACTCTCTTTAATTCATCAACAGCTTGTGTAAAAAGAGGCAAACAAATCTTTTTAAAGTCTTCAAGTTCAATGGTAACTTCAGCTTCATTATCTTCTCCATCTGGTTGTGGTAAAGTAAAAGTATATGATGAATTTGAAGAAAGACTAATTTTACATTTTTCACACTCAACTTTAAGTTGAGACTTTCCAGTCTTAGATTTGAGGAAAGCAACCTCATCGTCAATCTCATCTATTTCGTACATACCATCTTTTGTTTCTGAGATTACGTATTGTGCAATTAATTCATCTATATCACTACCACCATTATTCCTGAGACCACCATGAGCTAAAACATTAAAATTATGAGTATTATTCTTACTAAGAGAGTATTGAATAACACTAATATCTAATGTCCCTCCTCCATAATCAAACACAACAAAATTACCTTCTGGTTTTTTTTTATTTTTAGAATCACTTTCTTTTTTTTCAGAATCGTCTGTATTAAAATCACCATACCCAAAATCAATTGCAGCTGCTGTTGATTCGTTTAGTACCGCTATATTGTTTAGTGAAAATTCATCAAATAAGTGTTTAATTGCTTCTCTTTCATTGTCACCAAAAGAAAGTGGAACAGTAACAACAACATTTTCAAAACGAACTTGACTAGTTTTTAAGTCGTCTATAGCAGCATTTAATAATTTAGAATATATTTCTATTGGGGACATAATTTTTCCTTTATCTATTTCAATGCCAACAGATGAATCACCCATTTTAACTGATTTATATGGAGCTCTTTTAATATCGTTTTCAATAATTTTATCGTCAAATGATTTTCCAATAAATCTCTTAAATTCATAAGCAACAGTTATACCTTTTTTAGATAGTGCTTGTTTAGCACTATCACCAAACAACTCTGTCTTTGTTTTAGGGTTATATCCATAAAACGTTGGATAAAAGTATTTTCCTGTACTAAACTTTGCATTTTCAGCTAATTGTTTATTGACTCTATAATATGCGACTTCAATAGTACAACTTCCCAAATCAATTCCAATAAGTGAGGTGTCAGACATTGTTAAATGAAATACTAGTTACCGTGTTTAAATGAGAATGATTTTATAAACGTCATTATGATTTTTTAATAATTTATTATTTTTTTAAATTAAATAAAAATTATATTTATAATAATAAAAATTAATATTAATCCTTATAAGAATTATTTTATCATAAAATCTTAAAAATTATTTATTTTTTATTTAAATTAATAATGAAACTTCAAGGACTAATAAATTTTGGTAACGTTTGTTATCTTAATAGTGTTCTTCAAGTGTTATACTCTATCGAACCTCTAAGAAATTATTTGCTTAATGGAGAGTATAAAAAAGATATTAATAAAACAAATAAAATGGGACATGAAGGAAAATATGTGGATACTATGGCTGAATTCTTTTCTACTTACTCTCATGGTCAACCTATTACAAATAACTTATTAAATTTGTTGTCTAATTTATTTCCTTTTGGAGAACAACATGACTCACATGAAACACTTATTCATTTAATTGACTGTATGCATGAGGATGTATGTCATGATGGAAAAAGTATAATTCATGATATATTTTATGGAGAAGTTGATTCAACAATAATGTGCTCTCATTGTATTTATCAAAGTAAAACTAATTCAAACTTTAATTGTCTTGAATTAGATATTCCTAAAAGAACTAGTTGTTATTCTGATATTGATTCAGCATCATTAATGAATGATATTATTGTAGGAATTAAGGGATTTGCAAATAATAAATTAATTGGATCAGATATTTATATTTATCTACCACGAGTAACAACAGCAAATCAATTGTATAAATTAATTGCTTCAATATTACATTTAGAACCAACAGATATATCCAAAATCTTTATTACAAGGAATCATTTAAGAAGAGAAATTTTTAAAAATGAAATCATTCGGTTAACAGATGCTCAAGTTGAAATACATAGTGAAAGAAAAAAATTAACAATGTTTTCTGATAAGTCTATGAGTATCGTTGATGCTCTTAAACAATACTTTAAACCAGAACAAATGGAAGAATGGAAATGTGAAGAATGTCATAATATTGGAGGTAAAAAATGCCTTAACTTTAAAACATTTCCTAAATACTTTATTATGAGTATAAAATTATTTGAAATGGGCTATTATGGGTGTATTAAAAAAACTGATTATCTTACATTTCCTGATCGTTTTGAATGTCAAAATATTGTATCTTCTTTTCCGCCTTATACATATGAAATTGTTTCTGTTATCAATCATATTGGTTGCTCATTTTTTGGACATTACTATTCTTATGTAAAGTTTCAAGATAAGTGGTATTGTTGTAATGATGAAAGTGTTAACGAAGTGTCCCAAAGTGATATTCATCAAAAAGAGGCATACATTGTAATTTACAAACAAATAAATTGAAATTTTTTTAAATATTATTTTTTGTTATTTACAATTGATAAAAATGATATTAACTCTGTTTAAAATAGTTAAGAAAAAATTAACATAGGAAGAGATAAAATAAACAACAAATATCTTGATAAGAGGATAGATGGTATTACATTGATAATATCAAAAGAGTTCTATGTTCAATTAAAAAAAAGAAGAAAATATAAGGAAATGAAATTGGAAAAGGAATAAAAAAGATAAAACATATGTAAGAAATGTGATGAAGAAATAAAAAAAATTCAAAAACAAAAGAAAAAGGAGTAATTAAGTATTAATAGAACGTACTATATTATTCCTTGATCTATAGAGGTAATCCTATTCAATTCTGTTATAACTAATTTATAGAATATATTTTGTTGTGAAAGAAACAATGTTCCATGAATATATCTTAATTACAACATTTTTCACTTCTTTTATGTTGTCAATTTCACTTTTAATTCTTTAACTATTTAAATTGCTTTCTATATTTACTAACACATTTATTGAAATTAATACTGAAATTAATGTTTATTACTTTTATTATATTTTTTATTTGTTCATTTCTTAACTTTTATTTAACTAATTAACTCTAAAACTATTTTATTTATCATCTTCTTCTTTTTCTTTGTTTTTTTTTTATTTACTTTAATTATTATTCTTGTGATGTTTTCTATTTATTTCATTAACTTGATTATTATCTTTAACTCATTCAACCCTTCTTTGGTTTTTAATTTAATTGAACTTTTAACTTTCTCCAATTTCATTTTATTTTGGACTGAATATACCTCTATTGTTTATTAACATTTTTCTTTTCTTTATTTTTACTTATTTATTTATTTTTTCATATTCTTTTTTCATTTTATTTCATATTTTTGCTTTAATTTCATTCTTTGTCAGTGTTCTATATTTCTTATGGGTTTTATTCTTATTATTATCGCTCTATTTATTCATGGCTTTCTTATTCTTTTTTCATTTCTTATTTCTCTTTTTATTCACTTTTTCATTGTATTTCTTTTGCAATTCTTATTATATATTTTATTACTACTTCATTATTCTTCTTTATCTTTATATCTTTTATATATTTCTTCTTTTATTATTTATGTTATATTCTTATATCATTTTATTGTTATTTTATATTTATTCATTATTATTCATTCATCAATTTAAACAAATATATTATTTAATTAATTATTACAATATTTAAATAACTTATTAATGAATAAATAAAAGAAGATTTAAATATAAAGAAATATAATAAATGATAAAACAAATTTAATAAATTAAATTACTCATTAGAATAATATTATTTTTGTTTAAATAAATTGTTCATGAACATAAGAAAGACATAATAAATAATGATTAATTTAATGAAAATCAAATATTTCATTATCATTCAAAATAACAAATAACAAAATAACTAAATATAAAAAAGATAATATTCTATTAATAAAAATAATAAAATAATGATAGTTATTTTCAAACCACTCCTAATCCCCTTCTCTATTTACTTCCTCTAATAAATATTATGCAAAAATGATGACAACACCAATGATGTTGCTAGGTTTAAAAATATCAAAATACAAAACAAAAATCTCTTCTACAAGAATTATCTCAATTAAAAATTATAATATTAAAAAAAAAGAACTATAATAAATTAATCAAATAAATTTTAAAGTTGTTCTTTTTGTAAATCAGTTAACTCACCTCGTTGGTCAACAGTTAACTTACTCCAAACTGCTTGAATAATATTTGGAGAAACATTTGATGTCCAAATCTTCAATAATCCAATAATTCTTTTCTTTGTATCAATAGAACATTCCTCTTCTTCAATAGTATCAGCACAAAATGATGTCAATCGATAAATAATTTCAGCAGTTTCATTGTCATTGCTAGAAGTAATAAATCCTTTTGTTTGTAGATCATAAACAATTTCAACTAATTTATAAAATCCTTCTGTTACAGGGAATAAACCAATGAAACTCTTAACAAGAGATTCTTTGTTTGGAATATTTGGATTATGAAGAATAATTTCACCTAATGTAGTAACTAATTGACTATGAATTTCATGGTATGTTTTATTCTTTGGTCTTGTTAAAATTTCACTTAATGTATTTAATGCTTTTGCAGTTAAAGGTTGAAATTCTGGTATTTCTAATTCAGCAAATCTACCAACAAAAAGAATTGCATTGAATGCAATGTCAGGGCTTGAACTTTTCATGTATGATATAAATTGGTCACCAACATGTGGAAGATAATGATATAATTTACCATTACAAATAACTGTTCCCATTGCAGAAACTGCAAAACTACAACGTGTTTCATTATCAGTTTGACCAAAATAAATCATAATTCTTGGGAATAATTTCATGTTAAATGCTGCAAAGAATGTTTGAAGATGATTTTCACAAATAGATGATAATGTATTTAACATTTTTTGTAAATAATCATCATATTGATCTTCTTCACCTAACATTTCAATTTCTTCATCATCTAATTCATCTTCAGTTTTATCTATTGGTAAAACACTTAATGCCTCTCCTTTATTTTCTAATGTTCCATATAATGTTTTATCAAATGTTTCAAATAATAAACTAATCATTTGTGGTTCTAAACTATTTTCACCCATTGTAATAATAATACTTTGAATACAGTCTAAAATAACTTCAATAGTATCACTTGCTTTATCATTAATAAGTAATTGACATAATTTTTGTATTAAATTATAATAAATTTGTTTTAATTGTTCTGATTTTCCAGTTGCTTGAATTAATGAAGAAATAACTAGTGGTAATACAATACATGCAGCAAGTTTAATATTAGTATTAGAACAGTCTAACCATGGTGAAACACTATTATATGTTTTTTCTGCATAAACTGCAAATTCTCCTTTTAAGTATTCAGCTATTTTCTTAATAGTGAAAAACAAATATTTTTTTTCTTGTGAAATCATATTTGTTACATTAATTACATCAGTTTGATCACCTTCTTGTTTAATAATAGGTAATCCAATTCTATTTAATAATAATACTATAAATTTATCTAAATTAGGTCTAATAGCTTTGTTTGGTGAATCTACCATTCTACATAATGCTGACATAACATATGGTAATACTGGATCTTCAATACCCACTGGTTGTTTAAATAATTCACTTAATGTATTATAAATAATTTCTTGAATATTAGAAAAGAATTGTGGATTTAATTTAGAATTAAAAATAGCCATTAGTTCAATCATTTTTCCTTTCATTTCAGATGTATTAAATGTGGTACATTTTGGTAATAAAGCATTAAATAATTTTTGGAATTGTTCATAATATTGTCCCATTTGATTTGTTACTAATAATGAAATATATACAATTGAAGATAATCCTGTACTAATAGTTTTTGGTTGGTTATTTGTAGTTATTAATATTAATAATCCATCCATTATTTGTCCTATGAATGGAATTAATTTATTTGAACATTCTCCAAGATTATCTAACATTGATTGAAGGGTAAAACATGCTTTTTCTTGAATTCTCGAATGTGGTGATTTAACACATAAAATTAATGCATTTACAATAGAATCAAAATGACTTCTAATCATAATATGTGGGAATGTTTCCATTAATCCTTCAAGAAGATTTAATAATGAATAAACAATTAATGGTTGATTATCACTTACTGCACTAAATGATAATTGAAGTACTTCTGTAATATTTGATTTAATGATAAACTTTCCATGTTGTATAACTTGAGCTAAAGAAGTAACAGCAGCAAATCTATGTGGCCAATCACTCATTTTAGCGAATTCAACACATTTATTAAATAAAGTATCACGTAATGGTTTACCTCCAATAGCAGATGTTAATGTTTCAAGTGCATCCTGTGCGTATTCAAATAAAGTATCATCAGTATTTTCATTTAGCCAATCTTCTACATCATCATCACTAACACTAGTTAACCAATTTAATAAACAAATAAGAACTTGAGGTAAAAATCCACTCTTTTTATATTGGGATGTATTATTTTGAATAAGAGAAAGTAAAACTTCCATAGCACTTTCTTTAAGAGAATTATCAATGGGAGAATTACATAATGTCATAAGATTTTCAGAAACAGTAGGAAGAATACCAGCAAAAAAATAATTTGAAAATGAAGCCAATTCTTGTAAATCATCTAAAACATTATTAGCAACTGTAACTTCATTGTTTTGAATTAATTGTTGTAACGTTTGCATAATCAGAGGATATAATTCATTAAACTTTTTTCCTTCCGTGGTTGTTTCAATAAAACCAACAGCATTACTCAAAAATGTTATTGCTTTTAATCTTAACTGAATATTATCAATACTTAAACATCTATTAATATATGATTTTAATTCTGAGACATGTGAAATAATCAATGAAGCTTCTGGATGTGTAGTAGATTTACCTAAAGCATCTAAAGCAATACATTGTTGAATAATACCTTGTTCTTGAGTTAGAGAAAATAAAGTCTGAATATAATTTGGCCATGGTAATTCTTCTTGTTGAATAGAAAAAGCAAAAGAAGTAATAACACTTGAAAGAATAGACACAACTCTAAATTCATTTTCTACTTTACAATCTTCAATTAGTACTTTACATAATTCCATAATAACTTGATCACTCATCACATCTCTTATTTTAGGTATTTTTACTAACATATTATTAAATTGTGTTAATGCAATTAATCTCAATGGTGCAGGATTAGAACTTGATGCATTTGCAAATACAGCCAATTGTGGAAGTAATAAAGATGGTTGTTGTTTCATTTGTTCAAATGTGCTCTCAGCTTGTTTTCTAATACTTTCATCAGGGCTCATACAATTTTGAAGAAGAGTAGTTAAATCAGACATATTGATGTTATGAATTAAAACAGTTCTTCTACTTTTTTTTTTCTTATGTATAATAAAAAGGGTTTTGTTTTTCCTTATAATGAAAAAGAATGAATATTTTATAATAAAAATAATTAAATTATGAACTATTTAAATGACTTTATATTAGAAGTAATTGTGGTGAGTCAATTAATTCAATATGTGGAATACTTTGAATATATTTAATTGTATTTAAATCTCCACAACAATGTCTAAAACAAATGGATTGAAGTGAAATTGGTAATAATGAATTTTGAATAGTAGCATCAGAACAAGTATATCCAACAAATTCAATTTTTTTTATTCCTTTAAAATCCTTTAAATTTAATTGAGTTCTTCCTTCTTTTTCAATACTAATTTGATGTAATTCAATTGAACCTTGTGGAATACAATTATCAGTTGTAATTAATTGTTCAATTTTTTTAGGAAATTCTATTTTTTCATTCACTCTACAACGAATTAAATGAAGGTTTTTTAATTCATTTATTCCTTTAAAAGTATCTTTTTGAAGTTGAATACCATCAAATACAATTTTATTTAATTGACTACTTAGTGGAAGAGAAAATTGACACTGTCCATAAATTTCTAATTCTCTAACTTTCTTTGAATGACAAAGGACTGAAGTACTTCTACAATGTTTTAATATAATACTCTCTACACTTTCAGGTATTTCTATTTGTTGATTATAACTTACAACAGTCATTTTCTTTAATTGATGAAATTCAGTTAAATCAATATATGTACGAACTAATTCAATTTCTTCAATTGATGAAGGAAGTTGAATATTATTACTTCCAATTATTTTAACTTTTTTTAAATTTAATTGTCTTAAATCAATACTTTCTTCTAAGTGTTGTTGATTTATAACACATTCTTGAACATTTCTTAATTCTAAAATTTCTATCTCTTTATTACTGTGAATTTCTATTAATGGATAAAAATAATATACTCGATGGTTATGACTTGAAAGTGTTTGATTTCTACTTATAATTTTACACTTTTTATCAATAAATGGAATACTAAGTAATTCATCAAATGACTTTTTTCCTAATTCATTTAAAAATTCAATAATAATTTCATCAAAACAGTAATAATCTATTGATCTAAAGAAATTACTTTCAATTCCTAATGAAACAATAAAATGAACTTTTAAATGAGGATGGATTGAGTTAAAGAATTGACTAAGATTTTGAGCTGCTTGAATATTTGAAGAAATATCAATAATAAGTTCTTTTAAATTATTAAGTAGTGATAAATCAATTGGAGAAGTGATTTTTAATGATGAAATATGAGAAAGTAATGATATTGGAATTTGTTCAAGAGAATAAATTGGTTGATTTAATATAATAGAGTCAATAGTTTCTAATTCATCTTGATATAATATTAATTGATCAACACAATCTATTTCTATTGTTGATAATTGTGGGATAATTTTCTTCATTTGATTTAAGTGATTTTTAAATAAACAACAACGGTGTAACATTTGAACACCTTCTTTACAAAATGAACTTACTTTTATTAAATTAATTAATTCAATAGACTCTTTAATATAAAGAGCAACATTGGCAAGATAAATAGGTTCAAGGATTGACATCTTACTTAATACTTATTTTGAATAATCTAAAGGGTTTTTAAATCCCTTTTTATTTTTTAGGAAACTTCTTATTTCGTTTGCTTTCTTATTTTTTTATTTGCAAAGTCGTCTTCTTTCGTTTTTTTCTCAGACTTTTCCTTTTCTTCTTATCATTATTTGAATTGTTACTCTAAAAATTTAATGATCCAAATTCAAAAGAAAAGTTAAGAACTTTGAAAAGTTACTATTTTTGATTATTCTTTCACCCTAATTTCTTATTTATAAATTTAACAATACTTGTTATAAATAACATTTTATTAAATAATGTTATATAAACTAAAATTAAGAAGAGAGAAAATAAAAGAGATGAAGTTTAGGGAAAACTATAAAAAAGATAATTAAGAGTCATGAAACTTATGATTCAAGATGGTAATAAGAAAGTCAAAATTGAAGTAGACGAGAGTTGTACTGTTGGTACATTAAGGTGTATTATTGCTAATGAATTTGTCATAGAACCAGATTTGATTGGAATAACTGTTATGAATAAAGAAATTAATGCCTTTGATGATGAACTAGCTATTGACGTTGGTATTAAGAATATGACAATGATTAGGATAATTCATTTAGATAAAGAAGAAAAAAGTGTTAAACAAGGTAAAAGTAAAAGTGGATATATTGTAAAAATTGATAAATTAAAATGGGTTCCAATTAGAAGAAAAATGGCTGCTGATAATTCTTGCTTATTCCACTGCTTAGAATATTTATTTTATAATAAAAGTAGAAATGATCCATATCATATTCGACAAGAAGTTTCTGAAATTGTCCAATTATATCCTCAAAAATTTACAACGGATTATTTAGGACAACCAAATTCATTATATTCTCAAAATATTCTCAATCCAAGGACATGGGGAAGTAATATAGAAATTTCTATTTACTCTTTTTTAAAAGAATGTCAAATTATAGTATTTGATTTTGAGAATAATATTGATATTACATATGGTGATAAATCATTAAATCGGTGTTGTTTTATTATTTTTACAGGAAATCATTTTGATGTAATTTGTTTATCACGTTCATTAAATTCTCCAGAAAATGAAGATATGGTATTATTTAATAATGAAGATGAAGAGGTAAAAAAGAAAATGAAAAATTATATTCTCTCTGAACATCCAAAATTCCATTTTACCTTTTAATTCATATTATTGTTTTATTGGTTTTATTATTCATCTTATTAAATACCAAAATAAATAACAAAAAGAATAATGTAACAATTAAAAATACAAAAAACAATTTAATTCTGTTTGAAAAGAAACTTATCAAGAGTTGTTTTGTCTATTGATACTGATGCATAAGGATCAATATCTATTACTTTAATTTGACCTAATACTGCTTGTTGATATTTTGTAATAATTGCCTTTTTTAATGGAGGAGTTATTTTTTTAATAATTTCAAACATTGATTGAGGATTAATGGCATTAATTTGTGAAAATAATTCATTTGGTTGAAATGATTCTAAGTTTAATTGGATTATTTTAGCAACGTTTCCAGTTAAATTAAAACATTCTTGAATTTTTAATTCTGATGGAATTAATGAACGAGTCTTTGCTGTTTCCATTAAAATTTTTAAAGCTATTTCAACATTAATACCAGGAGAAGTATGTAATATATAATTAAACAAATATCGGTCAAGATACCGAAAATATAATTTCACATATTCTTCTTTAAATATTACATCAATATGATTATTGTTCATTTCATTAAGAACTGATAATATTGAATTAAAAACACGTTCATTTTGTAATCGTGTTTTAGGATTTAAGAATAGATCACTAACATATGGTTCAGTTTTAGAAATAGAATAATCTATTATAGATGTTAATATCATTGAGATACAACTTTCAATTGATTGTTGACACATCTCAGATAATCTCTTTCGTTTTGGATCAAACCTTGCTAAATGAATCATTGCATATAATCGTAATATAGTTGATAACCAATAACATAATCTTGTAGGAGATCCACTTGATAAACGAACAATACCATTAATAATTGCAAATAATAATGAAACAAATGGAATATCAACAGTATCGTCATATCCTTCTTCTAAATTGTCTCCTTCAATCATTTCATTTTGTTGATCTAACCCATCACTTTCTTGTTTAATAATTTCATCACCATCATGAATTCTATTAAATAAAATAATAGCTATTTCTGGTTGGTCCTCAATAAACTTTAAATTAGTATTAAATAATACCTTTTCAAATAAGAAATTATAACTACTTGGACTTAAACAGGAAACGTTATCAAAAGGAATATTATTACCTAATTCATCAATTTGAGTTTGCAAATTATCAATTTCATCACATAACTGTCCATATTCTTCCTCATTTTCATCAAACTCTAATTTTAATTCATCTCGTTGTTTAATAAGTTCATTTAATGAACCAACTGAATCATGAAATGATGTTTCTACAGTAGTTTCTGAATATAGTGATGGATTCCCTTCTTCATTTTTCTTGTCTGTATTATTTAATCCTTGTTGGTTTGTAGCTAACGAAGTAGAAATACTAATAGTACTTCCTTTCTCTGCTGAAAATAAACACGCTTCAACTTGTCCTTTTTTGCATTCTCCTTCAGTAAATGGAAAAGTAATAATTTTATCATTCATATCAATGTATTGAGTAAGATCTAATTTTACTCTTCCAATAAGAATTTCACTTGAAGTTTTGACAACATATATACTAAGTACTAATTGTTTTGGTTTAAAGTCATCACTACCTCTTGGTTGTAGTTTAGTATCAAACGTAAATGAACTGTTCCACAAAGCTTCATCCTCTTTTACTAATGATCGTTTCAATGCTCCTGATTTACTTTTAGATCCTCTCCACCATTTAATAAACAATGTATTTCCTTGATATTTCTTAACTCCAATAACTCGTTTGATTTCTACAGTAAACGTATACTTTACTATGTTTCTCTTTCTCCTAAACATTATTCTTTCTGTTTTTTGTTCAGTTCTTTTTTACTATATTTTATCATTTTATTATTATTAAGTCTTTATGTGTTTTTTAATGAAAATAATTTTCGTTTTTTGAATAACAAAAAAAAAATTAGAATTAGAAAATAGACATAAATCGGTTTCTTCGAAAGATCTACTGCCTTAAATTTCAGTATACAAATAATATTAACATAAAATTAAAGAGCTTCTATTACTATGTATGATAAAAATATATCTTTGTCATTTTAAATAATTAAATAAATCTTTGAATTATTTTTAAAGTTGATTCTAGTTTCTATTCAAATATTTTAATTTGTATTGATTAAAAATTTAAACAATTAACTTGGATGTATCATAGTTTTAAATGTAAACTGGAAAAGAATAAGCATAATCAAATTCTAAAGAATATCTCTATAATAAAAATATACTTATTTAATAGTTTTCTTTATAATATTTGTTGTATTAACTAAAATAAAAATATACTCCTAGTAACAACATAGTCTACTATGGTTATTTCTTTCTTAAAAAATAAATGGAACCGTTTCCTGTAAATAAAAAACAAATAACTAATAAAAGATATTATTATAATATCTTTCATTCATATTCATTGTTAATTAAAATAAAAAAATTTATATGAATATAATATTTTTTAAACTATATAAAAGAATATAGAATGAACTATTATTTGATTCTTAAAAGGAGATAATAACCATGTCTAAAAATACAAGTATCTACTTTAATTGTTTGTTTCATTCACAAAATAGTTTAGACTGTAACTAACAAGTTAAACTAAGTGTTGCAATTAAAATATGATAAAATTAATTAAATGAGATAGATTTATTAACTAAACGAGACTCTGAGATTCAACACTTATTTAAATTAAATAATTTTAAAAAAGGAGATTTCATAATAAATTTAATTTCAAATTAATTAATCTTTCTTTAACTTGTTTGTTCGTTGCTTTGGTCTAAGAAGAGTAAAGATATGAGCAGAAGTCTCAAGAAGTAAAATAACTGAAAGAGTAGCGTTGATACTCCAACATGGTTTATTTTGTGAAATCTAAACAATGAGTAGATAGAAAAATATAACAAAAAAAAACAATTAAACAAACAAAATAGAATAATGGAAGAGAAAAAACTTCAACTAACATATATGGTAGTTGATATTTTAATTTTGAAAAAATAGAAGCAAAAAATTGAATAAAAATTGAATATCCAAATGCAAATTGAAGTGGTTTGAATGAAGTTAATTTCTCGTTATCTAACCAGAAGATATAAATTATTGGATAAAACAATGTTGGAATATTTAATGTGAATGGTATTGATATTAATAATCTTATAAATAAGATAGTTATCATTAAAAAGATAAAAAATGATAGATAAACTTCCTCAAATTTCTGAGGGGCATACAACTGATTTATCATTCCAACAAAGCCAATTATAATAACACAACAATATTCTATAATCATCAAAAAAGATTTAATAAATTTCTTATCTTTAGAACATCCTAATGTTAATAATAATATAAATATTGATCCAACACTAAAAACCATAATCATACAAATAAATATCACATTTAATAAATCAGTAACATCTGATTTGAATGATGGGTGTGAATAGTCAATCGTTAAAAAACTCTTTATTTCTCTATTGAAGATGTTAAGTATTATTTCAAATTTACCTTTTAATAACGAAACAATGCTAACATGTTTATATCCTTGTGAATTTTGTAATGTAACATTTTGAATGAGCTGTGAAATATTGAAGTTATCTGCTGAAACGTTCATTAACCTAATTTTTTATTCTAATTAACAAAAAAATAAAGAAAACCCTGTTTCTACAAAATAACAAAATCAGTTTTTTTTCTTCCTCTTATCATAAAAATTCAGCTATTAATTTCTCAATTGTTAAATCATCTTCTGGTGGTATCATTAGTGGATCCACTGAACAACCAACCCAACTCCCCAACTCTTTTTCACTTTCTCGAGGTCGTTGTAATAACTCTTGTTCATAAGATGAATCTACAATTGAAAGTCGTTTATATTGTTCTTTTTGTGAAAGCAATTTAGGTTGTTTTTTAGAAACTGTCGGATTAGTACTCTCTTTTAAATCTTCTATCCCTGCAAATGGATCTACACTTAATGCATTTATAGACATCTGAATTGGTAATTCAGAGTTCTAGATGAAGAGTGAAGAAAAGAGTGGTAAAATCAAGTTGTCATTCTCACAAGTTAATTCTATTAGTCCTGAAGTGATTGAAATTAAGACTAGTTGATTAAATGATAAATATAATGGGATATATGTGTTGATAATCATTCCAAAGAAAATTGATGTAATTATGAAGGAAAATGTTCCTATTAATGTTTTATTTCCACAACGAGTTATTGGAAAATATTTACCACAATAACTTCCAACAATTGCTGCAAATGCATCACCTATGTCAACAGTAATTATAGTAGAAATAATTGCACAATGAAAATGACTTCTAAATAATAATAGTGGTAAAGTGTTTACATATAATAAAAGAAAAGCAGGAAATCCTGATGAAAGGTTTGGGTCTTGGTGTGAATCTCTGTATCGTTGGAAAAGTTGAGAAAGAGTACCATTTGGTGCGAATTGAATTCTAAGAAAGTCAAGAATAACAAATAAAATCACAAGATTGTTACTAAGAACTGATAAGAATAAAGCATTTGAACGAATCCCAAGTGTATAGATTAAAGCAGCAATAAAATGAAATGATTTACGTTGGACAGAAACATACATTGGTTGGTGTGGAAGAAATGCAATTACTACCATTAATACAAGTAAAAAAATCCACATCATTATTATTGGTGGATAATTTTTTATAAATGATTGAATTGTTGATGGTGCTAAAATAAATTGAGGTTGTTGAACAAAAATTAAAAGAAGAATTAATGAAATATGTGTTCCAAATTCACAATATGTAAATGGAACTCTAAATCTCATAAACTGAATGTTACATAAAATTGCTATAGATAAAAGAAATACAAGTAATAAACATATTATATGAATGTAGATTGCTGAATGACTTTTTGTAGCTAAAAATGAAAGTGAAACATTCATTAATAAACAATGAAATTCTATCACTGTAGTATCATCATTATAACATCTAAACATTAACATATTATTAGTTAATTATAACAAAATTAATAACTTGTTAAAACAAACTTGAATTGTTGAAAGAATTTACTTTTTATTGCATAATGAGCAAGTATTGAAAGAATTAAATCAATGATATATCCAAGTAAATATAATAGAGAGATGTAATTTTGTATAACATATTGTTTTCTATAAATTAAAGTATAACAACTGAGAAAGATTACAACAATAATTTTTAGTGTGGTCAATTGCTTAATTTTCATTCAATTATTAACAAAAATACTGTTATAGGGTTTGTGTTTAATAAAAAATAAGGAAGTAGATGAAAAGAATTTGAAAATAAAAATTTCTTATTTCTTTTCAATGGTTGAACCATATTCTGAATGTAAAATAATGATTGATTATCCAGGTAGATTAGGGTCTCGTGTAAATAAAAAGGAAGGAAAAGTATTATATTATGAAGGTTGTTCATTAATTTATCCAATTATTATTTATTTAATTTCTTATCATTTTTTATTAACTTCTTGTAGAAAATGGTATTCCAAGACTAACAATTCTTCAAGGAAAGAAAGAAACAACATTTGATTTAGATTCTCCAGACTTAGTATCTTTTAAAATAAATACTCAGAGAATTTCTGATGGATTAATCTCATTTCAGTTTTCATATTCATATGGGATGTTATGTAATGTTTTATTATCTGATCCATTAACATTAAATGGTTTTTATAATTTGGTTGATGCTCTTGCACCTCATATTCATTAACTAACTTTTGATTTCTAACATTAAACAACCTTTTTTTTGACAGAATTACAAATTTGGATAATTAAAAGTAATTAATTATAATTATTCAATCTCAAGATTGATACCTAGACATTAATCTCAATAGAAATTATTCTTGTGTATAAACTGAAAATAAAATGACTATTATATATAAGAGAATGAGTAAGTATGTGGGAAGATTATTCTCACCTCGTGATGACCATGTCAAGAAGTTCTTTTCAAACTATCCAATTTGTGGAATCAGAAATTTAGGAAACACTTGTTTTATCAGTTCAGTTTTACAATCTCTAGCTAACACTCAACAAATTCGGTCATACTGTTATCATCACTACAATCCAATTAAAGGAAGAGCAGGAGATAAGTCAGTATATCATGGATCTCTTCTAAATGCATTTATCAATCTAACAAACGCTATTTGGTCAGGAAATTATAGATTTGTAACTTCTTTAGCAATTAAAGATATTGTATCAGAAACACATCCACAGTATAAGGGAAAGGAACAAAATGATGCACATGAATTTTTGTTAATCTTTCTTGAAATCTTAGAAAAAGAATTAAATACAAAAGATATAAATGATTTCTCTTCTTCTATTTCACCACAACTTCTCTCTCCAATTCCATGTAGAGGTACAATAAAAACATATTCTCGTGAAACTTCTCCTTCAAAAGAATATTATTCTCCATTTGAAGTTGAAATGAATGAGATTGGATCTGATGATTCATCTTCAGACTATTACTTTTCAAAAAATCTTATTAGTGATGTTTTTAGAGGAAGAATTAAAAGAGTAACTGAATGTTCAATCTGTCATTCTAGTTCAGAGACTTTTGAGGAATTTATTTCATTATCAGTTCCAGTACCTCAATGGTATTCAAATGAAACACACCCAATCTCATTAGAGAGTTGTATTGAATTATTTCTTCACTATGAAAATGTAGAGGATTGGTATTGTGAAGAATGTAATCAAAAGAGAAAAGCTAAAATATATTCAACTATCAATGACATTCCTAAAGTTTTAATTATTCAATTGGTTAGAATATATTCAAAGAAATACCCAACTCAACAAGTCTTGTTTCCTTTAAATGACTTAGTGGTCCAAACATCACCTAACCATTTTGATTTTTATGATTTATATTCTTTTATCGTTTGTTTATTTTTAATTCTCTGTTTAGAAACTGGTTTATCGAAATAGACTCATACAGGATCACTATCAAAAGGCCATTATATATCATGGAATAGAGTATTAGATCAATGGTACTGTTGCAACGATGAAAATGTTTCTCAGTCTAAACCTAATACATCATCTGATACTGTGTACATTCTCTTTTATAAAAGGAAGGTAAGTTGAACTGATTATTCTATCATTAGTCAAAACAAGTATGTCACAACTGGTATTTCAAAAGACTTACAATTTGAATATTCAACTAAAATCTATAAAACCAGAACTTTTTCAAAATGAAAACATTAGATTTCTCTCTTCAAACCAGAAATTTCAGTTAGAAGAGTTAAATAAGAAATTAAAATGTTCTCAGGCTATTGTTGGACTAAATCAGAATAATGAAATTTGTGCTATTTTCAAATTAAGAAATCTGATTTATGGAATTTATTTGTGGAAATCAAATGAATGGAACCAGTGTGATTGGATGGTTCCAGTAACCTATAGTAATTATCACAATGAGTTTATGTTTTATCACCTACAATCAACAAAACAAGGTATTTCACGTGAATTTTTTGTGAGAGAATGTTATTCACTAAATTTACAATAATTGAAATTATTAAAAAGAAATAGTGAATTAATAGAATATATTTAATAAAATTTTATTAAAAACTGGTTATTAGAGTTTTTTCAGAATATTTTTTAATTAGAAAAAAGTTAATTTTGAAAAGTAAAATCTAGGAAAATTCCTCATCTAATAAATTGGTAGAGTTTTAAATGTAAAATAATAAATCTTTCAATTATTAATAATTACTATGAAGTAGTTAATGTTGTATTGAAAGTTAATAATAATTTTAATATAATAATATTTTTTTTAGTTATTCTTAATACATTAATCTCTTTATTGATAATAAACAAGAATTATTATTTCCATAGATGTTATTTCTTTATTTGATATAAATTTTTCTTCAGCGATTTAAAAATAAAAAACTATAAGAATAGAAAAACGTTCCAAAAGAAATTTAAATACTAGAACTTAATTTTCTCTAATACCAATATAATGAAACAAATGACCTTTGATAAATCGTATTTCAAAATGATCAAAGAGACATATGACAAACAAGAAGAACAAAATTTAAAAATTACATTTGAACCTCCAAATTGTTATACTCCTCATTTTTCTCTTCTTCAACCACAAATTGAAGAAGATCCAGAAAGATATCTTATGTATCGTTCTGGAGATAATTATGCATCATCAATATTCTCTACATATCCAACAATTAATGAAATAAAATTTGGGAAACCAATTGCTGACACGCATGCAATTGATATATTTGATAATTTTGTCATTGTTTCAATTGCAGACGGTTGTGGGATGGGAAATCTTCCTTCAAAAGCATCTAAAATGGCATGCCAAAAATTTAGAGATTATTTAGCTGTTGAATTAAATGGAAAAAAAACACCTAAACAAGTTATTGATGTATTACTGAAAGCTGTAGCATATATTCAAACTGAATTAATTAATGGAGCTGAAGACATTCATTCAGTTGGATTAACTACCTTTTTAGGTTGTGTAATTTTAAAGATTAAAGGAGATGATGATAAATATGCTATTGCTTATGTTAATATCGGTGATTGTAGAGGTATATTGATGAGACCACAAAACGATATTTGTTGGGAATTAGTAAGTGGGTATAAACCAAGAATTGATGTTACAAATGCTTGTGGAAGATTAGGACCAGCAGAATTAGATAAACCAGATCTAGGGAATTTTACATGTGGAATTAACATTTGTATGACTGGAGATAATTTACTTTTAATGAGTGATGGAATATATGATAATTTTGATCCAAATGTTCTTGGTAAATCTCCTCAAGATTATGGAATTAATAAAATGGTTTGGGATGAAAGTATTCCAGAACATCGTAAAAAGAGAAATGAAATATTTTATTCACTGTTAAAAGAACTTTATACCTCACCATCTTCTGCAAAACTAACTCAAAACATTTATGACTTTGTTGTTGAAAAGACTTCTGGTGCACGACAACAAAAAATTGATAACCAATTAGGTAAATATGGATTTAACATTGTTCCAGGTAAAATGGATCATTCGACTTTTGTTTCTTTAGTTCTATCAGAAGAAATGTTTAAAATTAGAGAAGTAACTGAAGAAGAACTCGATATTCCACCTGATATGATGTAATTCTCAAACACTCTTTTTAGCTTTTTTTGGAACATATCAACTTATTCTTTTATACTCTCCTTTTTTATTCGTTTTAAAATCTACAAATTAATAATCTTATATTTTAACCTTCATAAAAAAAAATCTTATCTTTCTCAAAAACTTTTTTAAGTAGAAAAATCTGAGAAAATTGAACTTGCTAAAATGAAAAAGAGAGGACATGATAAGTCTATTCAAGCAATTGAAACCAAAAGACAACAGATCCCAAAAGTTGTTTCGTTTTGGGAAAAACAACGTTCTTTTGCAAATATATTTAATCAAAAGATATCCGAGTTATGTGATTTAATGAAAAGTCATGCAGATTTTCTTGAAACAGCAACGATTCAACAAATTACAGGTTTTGATAGTTTGTTATAAAATTACTTTAAAACCTCTTCTTGATTATGAAAAGAGACTGACCTTTGTATTAGAAAGTTGTTATTCAGAAACATTATTAGAATCTTTTGTTTTTATAACAAATAGTTTTGAAGCTGCTGGGCAAGAGATTACTACTACTTTTGGAAAAACTGATGAAATAATTTTATATTTGAAACAAATCAAAAAACTTTTTGAGAAAAATAAGAATCCAGAAACATTAGTTTCCACATATTATAAAATGACTGAAAGATTAAAGTGGGAATCACCACTTCTTTTTACTAACATCTTTCATGCATTTCAAACATTATTTTCCATTGGTGATTTATTTTTTAGTTGCAATGATACTTTGACAATGATTACTGAACAAGCTCAAAAAGCAAAACAAAGTTATATAATTAAAAACGTAGAGCCAAAACCAAATGTATTATATTGTGGAAGAAGTTTAAAAGAGATATTAGACTCTGAAGGGAGATATTATTATCAATTACCTCGTATAATAGAAAATATTTTAGTTTATTTATACAACAAAGGATGCACTACCCATGGAATTTTTAGAGAAACTACTAATGCAAGTACTAAGGGTGTTGAAGAAATTTACCACCGAATGGGTGTTACTGATTTTGAAGACCTTCCACCTGATGTTGTTGCTAATGTATTTAAAAAATTTTTAAGAGAAATGAAAGAAAAAGTATTTCCTTATGAGGTTTCAATGTATTTATTAAAAGAATGGCAAAAAGGAAGAGCAAAAACAAGGACAACTTCAGCAGAAAAAAGAAAAATTATTCTTGAGGCTATTAGAAAGATGCCATTAGAAAACGTTACATTATTAAGAAGTATTTTAAAATTATGTAGTAAAATTGATTCAATGTCTGATATAAATGCAATGACTAATAAAAATTTAGCTGTTTGTTTAGCACCTACTTTAATGACAATTAGTGAAGATGTGAATTCAAAAACACTTGACTTAAAATCTGGAGGAGATGTTGTTGGATGTATTGAGATTATTACTTTTATTTTCATTGACTATCCTCATATTTATCCAAATGACGTTGATGTTAATGTTACTCGTAGATCAAGGAGAATGTCTCAAAGACTTGTTACTTGTCTTGCTGAAGGAATGAATGAAGAAGAAGAAATTTATAAAGGAATTGAACAAATAAGGAATAAAGGGGAAGGGGTCCAACAGACAGATAATAAAAAAGAAGTTATAACTCATCCCGTAATGCCTAAACCATTGTTAGATGATATTAGATCATCCACTGGTCAAATTAATCAGTTAAAAGATATAAATGAAATTCAACCTTCAGCACAATTAACTCCATCACAAAAAGAAACTCAACGAGATTGTCAAAAAGTGATAATAAGTAAAACTCAAACCCAAGAAGAATCTATTCCAAAACCTATTGGTAAGAAGTCTAATATTAACGATGTTCATGTTCAATGTTGTGATGATACAAATACAAACAAAAGTTCAATTCCAATACAATTAACAGATAATTTTGTTGAACAGAGCAATGGAAGTAGCACTTTAGGAAATCAACCTAAGACAATAAAACCATGTAAGGAAGTTCACAAACTACCAAATAAAAAATTACCAGTACCACCTCAGAAATGTGTTGATACACAACCAATAGAATATAATGAGGTAATACCACCTCTTAGTACGACTCTTTCTTCTCAACGATTAGAAGATGGAACTTTACAACCACCACCTGTCCCACCAAGAAGGTCTCCTAAGCCTAAGCCATGTAGTTATGCACCCCCAGCTGATTTTGCTTGAAAACTTATTGGTTGACAAGTAATTCATCAATTAAAATAATAATTAGATAGTATTTCTATAATAAAATTAAAATAAAAGAATAGTTTATTTTTAAATCTATTGAAAAACAAAAAAAAGAAAATACTAAAAAAAAAAATATACATAGAAATCAATGAGCTTCTTCTCAAGTTTATGGAATAGAAATACCCGTCAACAACCAACACCTACAATTAATCCTGTTATTCAACAAAAGCAAGGACGTGATAATAAAGTTATGACAAGTTGTTATTTAGATTTACACGATAACGATACTGTAAATTTATTAACATTATTAAAACCTATGCATCAAATTGATTTTTTAATATTAATTAATGTACATCCATCTCTGATTAAAGATGAATCGGTTATTAAAAAAATTCAATTAAGTCATCCCCATCTTCATCCACCATTATGTACATTTAAAAAAGAAATACCAAGAACTTTAATATTTTCTAAGTTTAATATCATTGAAACAATTCCTTGTCCAAAAACACCAACTATCTTTGCACGTAAAACAGAATTTGAATGTCAAATTATTAGAGTTGGAATAGAAGAAATTTATCCATCTGCATCAATTGGATTTGTTGTTTTTAATTTAGATTCTAAAGTTAATGATAAAGAAAATATTGTTGAAGACTATGTGCCAGTTACTCCATTTTTTATTAAACAATATGAATTAAATCTTATTGGTAAATTAGAGTCAACAATGAATATTCCTAACTACCGTAGAAGTGCTGTATTATATTTTGGTAATTTTCATGAAACTACTGTTGTTAATGAACCTATCACATTAGGTACTTATGACCAATCTATATTAGGTACTATTATTAATAATCTTATTGAACATAAAGAAACTATTATTGATGGAACTCCAATGATTAAACAACTTGAACAACACCAAATCCCTGTAAAAAAAGCACTTGGTATTATTTATTCTAAATGTGAGGAATTTATCACTTTAAAGACAGCAATTATTGCTGAAGCTGTTGCAATATCTATGAGCGATTATATCCATTCTTCAGTAAGACTTCTTCCCTATAAAGATATTGCAAAACAATATATTGATGAGAGTGTACTTGGACTTAATACAGCTTGTAAATTATGGGGATATTACAATGAACATATTGATAAAAATGAACCACAGACTGCAGCATATTTAAATCGTATTAATAAATCATTATCAGAGATGAATCTTCCTATTGAAATAGAAAATACTGAAATTAATTTTGCAATGTTTCTTACTGCAATACAAAGATGGTTACATTTAACAATGAAATCTCCAATTCTTATTTCATTACTTAGTGGTAAAGAATTAAGAGATATAACAGCAAATGATTTCTTGTTTACAACAGAAGTTTGTTTTCCAAACTTCTCTTCTTCTAAATTAAAAGAGAGTCAAAGAATTAATGGTAACTTACTTGGTTTATGTTATGGTAATTTCTTAGACCATATGGGTAGTCTTGTAGAGTCTAATACTGATTGTGCCCTTACTATCCAAAAAGATCTTCATATTCTTAATATGACTAATTTTCAAAGTAGTGACTATACTTCTAAATCACCATTTGCTTCTGTTCAATGTTTACAATATTCTTTAATTCCTCAATCACTTCAATTACCTCCTTCAGTAGATGGATTATTTATTCGTTTTGCGATTTATCCTCAAATCCAATAATTAGAAAATTAAATTTTAATACTTTCTTTTTTTTTTATAATTCTAATTTTTTTATCTTTTTTTCTCTCTTTAAAACATTTACAATAAATCTTCTTTCATTCTTATTTCTTTTTTTTTTTCCTTTCTTTAGTAAATAACTTACATTATTGTTATTTTCTTATTAAAACTAAATCATTTACTCGTTTGGATTTTATTTTTATTTATTAAAAAATATCATCTTTTTTACGGTTAGATTATTTTAAATTTGATACTTACTTTAATCAAAATTATGTGTTATCGTTTTGTTTAAAACTGTCTTGTCTTTTTTTATTATTTGCAACAATAAACAAGTGTGATTTTATTTAATTATTTTATATATGAAAAGAAAATAATTCAATTACTTTGGTGGTAAATTCCATCTTTTCTTTTGTGATGGGTTAACAGTTGGTTGAGTAAGTTGTTCATTTTTTTGTAAAGGTTCCTGTTTTAATTCAAATTGATTAGAACTAGGATTTTGAAAAAGTGGTTGAAAGGAGTTTTGAGGCGATTGATAAGTTTGAGATTTTGGAATAAATGATTCTTGTTTGTATTCTTCAAACCTTAACATAGGCTCATCTTTTTTAGTTGATTTAAAGTTAATTGGTTCTGAAATAAGGACTTGTTTTTCAACAGTTGACTCATTGATATTATTTGAAATTAATGCTTGATATGAAATACCAATTTGATTTAACATTAACATTTCATGACATCTTTGTTGTATTTCAATAGAATTAATTAAATGTTGATCAAATTGGACTTGATCATTATTTTCTTCAACATTAGGTAGTTGAGTTTTTTGTGGAATATCCCAAATATTTAATAAGTCAATTGGTTGGTGTTGTTGAGGTTGTGGTGGTATTTGAATTTCATTATTATCTTTATTATTGTTAATATCTTTGGTACTTTTTTCTTTAAAGAGTAAAGAATGAATAATCCCAATATTATTTGTTTGAATTGCAGCAACAATACCTTCTTTAACAGCACCTTTTTTAATACATTTAATAATAATTTTTCTTATTTCATTCATATCCAATTCATTGAAATTAGAACATTTTGATATAATTAAGCAAGCAAATTGTGCTAATGAAAGAGTTATTTCATCGTAGTTGATATTAATAACATTATAAATATTTTGTAAAGCAATACTATAATTTTCTTCTTCACTTTTCATTGCTTCAATAAAATTTGTGTAAATCATTGTTAATTCTTCTTCACTCAATCCTTCTTGCATTGGCTCTACTTTATTGAGCTCTAATATATGAATTACAATATTACAATACCATTCAAAGTCTGGAGTGTATTTCTCACAAATAATATAAACAACTTTCAATATTTGACTTCTAACTTTACATTTATCAACCTGACTTAATGCTTTCTTTACAAGATCTAATAATGTTAGTACAACACTCACAGCCTCTTCAGATTCAGTAATGTTGTTAATTAATTCAATAGCCTCTTCTACAACAGAATCATTATCGTTACTAATAAATTTCATTATTGTGTCAAGATGGTTTTTACAAAGAACTGGATTTCTATCACTAATAATCCTCATTGTTTTTAATCCACAATAAATAATTAATTCATCTTTCTTCTCAAATAAGGTAGATGCTACTAGTGTTGCATTTCTTAACATAATATCAGTTGGAATACACATCATTGTTGTTTTAATTAATTCAATTTGCAATGCCATCCCAATCCCCCCTGGAATGACTTTATATATTTCCATCAAATTTGCCATTGATTGTTGATAATATTTAGTACTTGGATTCATTACTCTCAATAATCTTAATAACTTTATTTGAAGGTATGGTGCACATATATCATTTATTTTATATCCTTTATATTGTGAAGGAATTTTTTTACTGTTTTCATTTGAATAACCAGCGAATAATAATAAATAGCGTAATGCCACATCAATGAGACCAGGCCATATCCTTCTATCTTGAGTTGTTTTTGACATAATTTGTGTGATTATTGGAATAGCAGATTCAACCACAATCATTGATTGGTCAACAAGTGCAACAGATAGTGCTGATTTAATTATTGACTGAGAATCATGATCAGATAATAAAAATATTCTATATAATGAACGAATTGATGCTGCGCGAATATTCGGATCTTTTGATTTTAATAATTGATTGATATGAGGAGAATATGCTGGCATAGTTGTTGTAGTAATAAATCTTGATAAAATACGTAATGCATATAATGGATTTGTTGATGTTGGACCAAGGAGTTTAGTTAGAGAGTTAGTTAATAACAAAGAGAATTCAGAGTCATTTGTTATGATTGCTGAAGTAGCAATGAGAGCAGTTTTTTGTAAATTAGAATTTTGGTGTTGAGTTGAGTTGATGATCATAAATACTGATTGTTCTACGTTATATCCTAATTCATAAATATTCATCATTTTTTTAATATACTCCTTCATATAAGAAGGGCTAGTGTTATTTAATCCATTTCCTTCTTCTTTTAATACTAAATTAACAAATCTTCTTTCTTCATCAGATGTACGTTTTTCTCCAATGTCATGAACAAAGTTAGCATAAGTTCTATTCATATTGTATTGTTTAAGAAAAGATATTGTTATTCTTTTTTGAGATCCTTTTTATTGCAAATATTTAATTAATGGAACCACGTAATAATAAAAAACATTGAAATAAACATAAATTGGTAAATAAAAGATAGATAATAATATATTTCTTTATAAGATCTTTTAGTTCTTTCTGGTTTTGATCAATTTGATAATAGCACAATGCAAGAACCACAAGAATATCACTCCCCTCATAGAAAATTTTTACAAAAAGGTGTATTAGTTTGTGTTGTAGTTTTGTTTATTATTTGTGGAACATTATCAATTACTCTATCAAAAACGTGTTATACATTACAAGCAGAAAATTTTGAGAATGACTTGGTTTATTTCAGAAAACCATTATTCTTTAACTCATTAATGTTCTTTGCTATGGCATTATGTACTTTCCCATATTTATTATTGAAATATGTTTTCAGTGATAAAATGTCAAAGCCAAAAGAATACACAACAAAACACCTTCTTTATCTTTTCTTTCCTGCTCTTTTAGCATTCTCAGCAACATATCTCCAAAATATTGGATTGGTATATATTCATGGAAGTGTTTTTCAAATGCTTAGGGGGTCAGTAATCATTTTCATTGCGTTATTACAATATTTCATTAAAAAAAGAAAATTATTACTACATCAAATTGTTGGTGTGTTAATTGTAGTTGTAGCTATAACATTAGTTGGTTCAAGTAGTTTTATGATTCCTTCAAACAAGAATCCAGGTGCAACAACACATTCTATTCATAAATTTATCGGAATATCATGTATTCTTTTTGCACAACTTCTTAACGCCTGTTCTGGATTAGTAGAAGAATCTTTATTACATGATGCAGAGATTCCACCATCATTGATAGTTTCTGTAGAAGGATGGTTTGGAGTATCATTTAGTGTAGGTACTATATTATTCCTCCAATTTATGCCAATTCCAGCTGATACTTTAATTAAAGAAAATACAGCTGAAACGCTTCTGATGATGGTTAGAAAACCAACAATCTATGCTCTTGTTAATGCCTATGTATTAGTTGTTTTATTCTTTAATCTTACTGGAATGACTATTACAAGCCAAATAAATGCATTAACAAGAAATGTTATTGATCCATTAAGAATGATTACTATTTGGCTCACTGGTTTATTTATTCATTATGTTATCACTAATAAACTAGGAGAGGCTCTGTCTTGGGCAACACTCATTCAGGTATTTGGATTTATTGTATTAGCTATTGGTTTCTTTGTTTATGCTGGAATTATTCCATTGCCATTTTTTGGTACAACAATAAAAACAGAAAATGAAAATATTCAACCCATACTTCAAGATGATGAAATTGATGAAAATGAAATGAATATTCATAAAGAAGATTAACCTATTGTTTGTTTTCGTCTTTGTCTTGTTTAATAATTTATAGACAAATAAAAGATATTTAATAATCGTTTATTAGATAGAAAGTCTTTGTAATTTAGTAAAGAATTATCGTTTTTTTCTAATTAAATAAAACAAACATAAAGTAGGTAAATGAATTTCAAATACTTATTTCTTTAACACTACACTAATTTTTTTTAAATTATCAGTAGTAGAAGAAGGAATAAAGTATTAAGGAAGTAAAGTGTAGTCAGTATTAATATAGTAAAGATAAATATAAAGAAATTATAGTGATATTAGATTTATTTTGAGTAAATGAAGTAAATATTACTTTCATTCTTTTTTTTTATTATCTTTTATATTATTTTATTGCATTCTTTTTTAATTAAAAAATAAAATGGTTATATTCATTTATTGTTTAGTACTTATTCATTTATTCTTTTTCATGTTAATTTTTATGTTAATTTTATGTTGTATATTAAAAATATTTATTAATCATTCAGATTTTAATTTATTCTATTTTATAAAAATTATTTTGTTATTCATATAGTTTTAATTGATGAAAAATATGAAATGTTAATACTTCTTTTATCTTTATTATTTATTCTTATTGTAGATTCTAAATTAATAATTACTCTCATATACTTCTTATTATATATTCTGGCAATATCAGATTATTTAAATGATTTAATTAATATAGGAGTATATTTGAGTCTATTGTTTTCATGATATTTTTCATATGATTAGTTATTTATTCTCTTTGCCTTATTCTTGTTCATTATTCATTGGAATGTGATGAAACAGATGATTTGATAATTGTACCAATTAAATTATACATCATTATTCATGGTATTCAAATATATTTGATCTACTACATAGTTATAATGATTTATATTTTGAAATGATTAATGAGATTATATTTTATTAATTAAATTAATATCATTCATTCTGTTTTATTTTTTTAATTGATTAAGTAATATTAAATTAAGTTATTGAACAAGATGGGATATGTGATATAATAATGAATAATGATATTATGATAAATAAATATAATAAATAAACATCTATATTATTCAAACTTATTCATTATTATTATTTGATTATTATCATAACCACAATTAATTTATTTATTAATATATACTGAATGATTTTATTTAACATCATTTTAAAAAAATAATTCATTATCGTGAATATTGTTCATTTAGAAATATAATATATTAATAAGTTGTGATATTCTGAGAGAAATGAACTATCAAACGTTTTACAATATATTACACAATCAAGAAAATAAAATAACATTACACGACTACAAATCATTGCACTTTTTGATGGTAATGATATTAATTATTTTATAACTTATGTATATTCAGATAGATATATTTTTATTAATTTCTTATCAACTTAATCATTGAAAATTATTTCATTAACTTTAATTAATATTTATGTTAAAAAGCACTAAAATATGTTGATAAAACAATATAAAAATTAAATATTTCATTGTATTTAATATTTATTGCATATCATCTGATTTTAATAATAAAATATGTAAAATAAAAAATGAATTTAAATGATAATTAATTTCATTTATTAATGTTATTAATATTGTTTAATATTCAAAATAATTCATTTTATCAGTGATAATAATTGATAATTTAGAATTAAATAATTCATTTATTAATTTTATTATTTCATTTTCAATTTATTTAATTTTCATTTATATTGTTTTATTCATCTTATTTTATTTTAATATTATTAATTCATTTCATTATGTTATATTAAATATTAATGATAATTAAATCAATAATTCATTCATCATATAATATAATTCTTCATTCATCAATTTAAACAAATATATTATTTAATTAATTATTACAATATTTAAATAACTTATTAATGAATAAATAAAAGAAGATTTAAATATAAAGAAATATAATAAATGATAAAACAAATTTAATAAATTAAATTACTCATTAGAATAATATTATTTTTGTTTAAATAAATTGTTCATGAACATAAGAAAGACATAATAAATAATGATTAATTTAATGAAAATCAAATATTTCATTATCATTCAAAATAACAAATAACAAAATAACTAAATATAAAAAAGATAATATTCTATTAATAAAAATAATAAATATAAAAATTACAGTATAAATATAATAAAATAATAAAATAATTACAATTTTCTTTTCCAGACTATATTCTTCTTCCATCTATCTCTTACTTCATATACTATAATTCTTTCATCATTCTTCTGATATTGTAATTTGAGTATATAATAAACACTATCTAATGGACTCAAAAAATATGTTTGTATCTATGAATAACTATAATTATTCTTTTTGTAAAAGCTTAAAGAAGGAAGAGAATAATATAAAAAAAGTTAATTATTATATTATATATTAATTTATAAGTATTAGAACTTATTTAAGTTAAATTACTGGAAATATACTTAAAAGCAATCTTTTTTGAGAAAAGAATAAATGATAATACACAACTCATTACTAAGACTTTAAAAAACTATAACTTACTTTTTTCAGTGATTTTATGATAGTTAATATCAAAAACCAATAAATGGAATGGCAGTCTTTTGTGTTGTTTCTTCGTTATCCCATAATTATAAGTTGTACTTTAAATTTATTAATTAGTACAATATATTTATAATCTTTGACAAAAAAAAAATAAGTACTATAAGAAATAGTTTTTATTGACCAATAATTAGCATGATACTCTGTAACTTTATAACACTTCTTTGGGTATTGCTTCCCTAATTCATTTTTCATTAGATAAAATTAATAGAATAAATGTTTAAAATAACATATCATAGAGACAAATGAATTATTTTGTTATGAAGCAGAAACAAAGAGCTGAGTGATAATATACTCAAAGATAATTTTAACCTGAAACTTTGAACAAAAATTAAACTATTTTTAAAATATTTTATAATTAAAACAAAAGAAAAACCTTTATTCCATATACATCTCCAAAATACCAACAGCTGTATTTTAAATAAGCATGTACATCAAATCATTGTTGATTAGTATAAATAAATCATAATTTGTTCACAAAATAGTTCTTTCATAGGTATTAAATGGTGTCTATTCAACAAATAAATATAATAAAATTTATAGGCTTATAAAGTTATAAGAGAGCACTTAGAATTGTATCAATACATCCTATTTATTGATACATAAACCAACTGGATATTAATTAATAAAATTGAATAAAACAAAAGTATTAAAAAATATTGAAGTAATATATAAATATTCATTAAAAATCACAACACCAATTTCATAATTCAACCTATCTGGTATTTAAGTTTCAATGTTAACACTAACTTATAAATTATTTATTATAATCAAATGTACTACTAAAATTAAAGAACAAATAATGATAATTAGTAAAACACTTAATAAAACACAAGAAGAAATAATTAAAAGTATTTCAATTAAAGGAGAAACACAAATATCAACACGACTTGATCCAGATGAAATAAAAGAAGAAAATAAAATAGGAGAAGGATCATTTGGAATAGTATATATCGGAGAATTTAGAGGGAATCAAGTAGCAATTAAAAAAATGAAAGAAATTGAAGAAAATGAAAATAAAATGAAAGAATTTGAGAAAGAAGTAAGACGTTAGATAAATTTAGAATGAAATATTATTCATTTTTATGGAGCAGTATTTATTCCTAATAAAATATGTATGATAACAGAATATGCAAAATATGGATCAATACAAGATTTAATTAATAAAAGAACAAACACAGAAATACCAAATAAAATAAGAATTAAATTCATGATAGAGGAGCAAAAGGAATTTCATATCTTCATTCAAATGGAATAATGCATCGAGATATTAAACCAGATAATTTTCTTGTTGTAACAATTGATGATAATATTGGAATTAATTGTAAATTAACAGATTTTGGAAGTTCAAGACATGATGATAACAAAGATTCACAAAAGAACAATTCTATAGAAACAAAAAGTTACACAAAGAAATTATAAAAAGATATTTGGATATAGTTTGTAAAGACAGAAGTTAAAATGAGAGATGAGAAGTTAAATTCAAAGAAAAAAACGAATTGACTAAAAACCGAAAGGAACACAGAAGGTGAAAAGAGATGATAAAAGAAGAAGAGTTAGTGATAGAAGAAAATAGAAAAGTGATAAAAAAGGAAGTGGGAAGAGATAATAATAGCAGAAGAGTTAAAAAAAACATAGGATGGAGGAAGAGTCAAAAAATATGAAAAATGATTTAATATTAATAAGAACAAAATAATAACATAAAACCATTTTATTTTGTTTTCAATGTTAATTATTTAATATCCAATACTGTCTGAGAGGAAAATAAAAAAAATAAAAAAGAAGAACAAAAATAAATGTGAAGTTCAATAATTTTGAAATTAAGAACAATAATACTCAAAAGAATGGAAAGAATCAGGAAACATACCAAAATATAAAAGCTTTTTTTAACTAGAGTTTGAAATGAAAAAAGAAAGGAAAAAAATAAATAAAATAACTAAATTTTCAGATGAACAGCGATTACCCTGCAACATTTCCTGAAAGATATGAAGTAAAGGATCCGTTAATTCTTGAAGCCAACTCACCAATTGATAGAGAAAAAATACAATTAGTTTCGTGGTTAAATCAACAGTTATTAACAGACAAAAAGATAACACAAGAATATAAGTATATGCCAATTAAAGAAGAAGGGAATGATTTTTTTTATGCGTTGAGTGATGGAGTTATAGTTAAACATATAATTAATAAATTTTATAACCAATATAATATTGACGTTAAATATGGGAAGTCTGGACTTATTTCTAAGAATGCTAATATCACTAATGTTATTAAAATTGCTAATATTATTCTTTCAAAAGGAGTTACTATTAGTGAAAGTAATTTATCTTCTCCTAACAAAACTACAGCATCATTAGTATTAGGATTTATTTGGATGTTATTTGATAAATTCCAAGAAAAGAATATTAAATTATCTATGAAAGAAGAAGGAGCTGATGTTACTATTGAACAATTTATGATAAATTGGGTTAATAAAGCACTTGAAGAAGAAGGAGTTGATAAAAGAATCAATAATTTTGGGAATGACATTGAAGATTCAGAGGCATATCTTTATTTACTTCATCATTTAAATAACAGTTGTTCATTAGAAGCATTAAATAGTTCTAACTTGAATGATAGAGCTAAAAGTGTTCTTGATAATGCAAATCTTTTAAATGCAGGTTCATTTGTTGAACCACAAGATATAGTAAATGGAGATAGTAAAAAAAATCTTAGATTTGTAAGTAATTTATATCAAATAGTAAATGCTCCTCAAAAAGAGATTTCTAACGAAGAGTATCAAGATGAAGAAGAAATTCGTAAAGAAAAAGAAGAAAAAGAACAAAAGGTTCAAGCAGAAAGAGAAGCTGAAGAGAAAAGAAAGAAAGAGGAAGAAGAAAAAAAGACAAAAGTAGAAAAAATGAAAGAAGTTGATCAGTTGAAAGAAGAAGTTATTAAAAAAGAGAAACAAAAAAAAGCAGAAGAAATTCATCAAAAACTTGATGAAGAAGAAGAAAAATTAGCTGAAGCACAAGCAGAGATTGAAGAAAAAAAAGCACTTAAAGCACAAGTAGATGAATTAATTCTTGCATCTAAAGTACAAGATTCTAAAGATGAAAAAGAAGCTTCAAAAAATCTTATACAAGCACAAAGAGAAGCTAAAAAAGCAGAAATTGAACAACAAAAACAAGAAGAAGAACTTTCTAGACAAGAAGAAGTATTAAGAAATTTGATTGAACAAAAAAAGAAAGAAGTTGAATCAATTGATTTAATTGCTAATTTAGATAATACACAAGTTGTTGAATTAACAGAAAATGTTAATCAAGAAAATGTTCAAATTAAAGAAGAATTAAATAAAACTAAAGAAGATGTAAATACAGCTAAATCAGATTTAATTAGTATGCAACAAAAAACATTACAAGATCAAATTGATATTGAAGAACAAAAAAAAGAATTAGATGCTACTACTAAAAGATTACTTGCAGAACAAGAAAGAAAACAAGAAAGAATTGAACGAGAAAAACAAAGTGTTAATGAAATGAATGCAAAAATTGAAATGTTTGAAACAATGAATGATGAATTAATGAAAACAGTACAAACACAAAAAGATGAAATTATAACTAAAACAGATACACTAACTGATATTGAAAATACTAATTTAGAAAATAAAAAGAAAGAAAAGAAAATGATGTCAAATATTGAAAAACAATTTAAATTACTTGAACAACAAAAAACTCTTCATAAAAAAAATCTTGCTAAAAAAGAAAAATTAAGAAATGAAACACAAAAACTTGAAAACGAGAAAAAAGTTGTACAAGCAGATATTAAGACAATTACAATGGAAAGAGAAAGTACTGAAAATCGTGCAGATAATCTTCTTACAAAACAAGATGAATTAAATGAAAAATTAATTGATGCAGAAAATGCTAATGTAGATGCAGATGTAGAATTACAAGATCAACGAGAGAAATTAGATCAAATGAATGAAGAAATACAAATGAAACTTGAACATCAAGAATTTGTTGAAATTCAAAAACTTAAAAATGATAAAAAATCAAAAGAAGATGAGAAAAGGAAATTAGAGAAAGAAAGAAAGAAAAAGAGGAATGAAGCAAAGAAAGCAAAAGAAGAATTAATAAAATTGGCTGAACAACAAAAAGAATATGAAAGACAAAAAAAAGATTTAGAAGATAGAAAGAAAGAGAATGAAGAACGATTAAAAGAAATTGAAGAAAGAGGTAAAAAAGAAGAAGAAACCGCTGCTCAATTTGCAGAAAGAATGGAAGCTTTAAAACAACAAAAAGAACAACTTATTGCAAAACAAAAAGAAGTTGAAGAAAAAGAGATGAGTGATAAGAGAAGAATGGAACGATTAAAGAGGAAAAGAGAAGAAGCTAAACAACTAAAAGAAGCTGGAATTGAAGTTAGTGAACCAACAATGGATGATGTTGTCAAAGAAGAAGAAGAACGTGCTAAACGACATAGACATAGTGAAACATCGTCAAGAAGAAGAAAAACTGAAGAACCTACTGAAGATATTAAAACAGATAAATCTACAAATGAAGAAAAAACAGGAGATGTTGTTGTTGATTCACTTGAAGAGCGTAGAAGAAAAAGAGAAGAAGAACGAAAAGCAAGAGAAGAACGAAGAGCAAAAAGAGCTGCTGAAAGTAATGGAGAAAGTAAAAGTGAAAATACTACTGAAACAAAACAAGAAACATCTGAAGAACGAAGAAAAAGAAGAGAAGAACGAGAAGCTCAAAGAGAAAAAGAACGAGCAGAAAGACGGGCAAGGTTATCTACTAAATAATGAACTGAATTATATTTTTAAAATTCATTTGTCTTAATTATTATATTTTAAAGTTCTTTTTTTTTTATCTGATTAAATATTTTAAAAATCTTAATAATAAATTTTATTATTTGATTTATATTATATCTTAATAATATAACTACAATTCTACATTTTATTAATTAAACTACTTTATATTTACTTTCATGGTAATGACTAAATATTCTATTCTCATATACTACTAACTTAATTAAACTAAAAATCATTCATAATAAATATCATTTTAAAATATTAATATCTTAACTTGTATTGTTTTATTGTTTGTTAAATCATTATCGATTCATTAGTTTTATTTATTATTTATAACTACAACCTTATCACACTTGATTTGTTAACCAATTTTCAGAAATAATTTGAACAGACTCAAGGAAGGAATTGCTATAATACATCCCCCATATCCTTTTTTATCATATAACTGTTTTGATTCTTTTAACTTAAAAGAAAAACTTCCCAAAGAAAATAGTAAAGTATCAACAAAAGATGATAGCAAGGTCATTTCCGATAGAATGGTAATAAAAAAGAAGATGATGAGGAAGTATGAAATTACAATTTAATGACTTAAGTACTGTTGATAATTTTAATGAGAAAAAGGAGCTTGCTATTTATATCCACATAAAAGATAGCAACAGTATCTATGATGGAATTATTCAGGGTGAAAAGTCAACACTATTCTGTAAAGAAAATGGTATGAAATTACAAGTGATTGAATCAAAGGGAAAGATAATGAAAGGATTTATTAATGTATTTAAATATGATGTTAGTGATGACAGAGATATAATCTTTAAATTTAATGAAGCGTTTGGAGTTGCTAAAACTAAAGGAACAAATGAATTACATCTTCATTTTGAAAAGAGTAGTGATTGTTATGAGGGTTATGCAACATTCCCAAAACTTGAAGACCAAAATACAATTGAAAGAATTACAGCATATAATTTAGACTTTTTTATTTACTTTTCATTTAATAATAAAGTATAAAAAAATAACAACCAAGAAAATTACATATATAAGACAAAAAAAGTCATGTACACAACAAAAGTAAAATTTTATATCACTCAATAAATTTAAATATGATAAGGTAATGAAAATAGATATTGTCGTTATTCACTTGCTTTTGTTTATTTCATTTTTTTGAAAGATATGTCTTAATAATTTGATAAATTAGTATTCAGAAAACAATTGGTTTTTATTATGTTAGGTAATTTAATTTATTAATACTATAAAATACTTGTTATAAAATTTAATAAACTGCCTTCAGCCATCATCATGATTTATTATTGCTTAACTTTTTGTGTTTATTCATTACATTTTCTTTGTTTTACTTATTTGATGTTTTACTAACTTATTTCAATAAAGGGTAGATATGTATTCTTGGGCTCTGATAGTTAACAGAATTTAACTGTACTTAATAGGTGTTTTTTTATCTTTCTATACTTACCAGACTTTAATCCTCCATTTGGATAAATACATTTTAATAAAAGACCTTTTGGTTTTAAGTTAGCTTTATTGTTCATTACATAAACATTAAATACCACATTAATTTTTTGTGTATATATTTATTTAAGAAACATTGTTTGTAAGTATATATTATATATTTACTATTTTGTTATAAAGGATTACTAAATTAATAATTCAATTTGATTATAATTTTTTAAAGAATAAGAGAAGATAAAGACCCTTATTAATAATCAAAAAAATATTGTTTATGTTTGTTGAATCCATTTTAATGATTTGTTAGATAACATACTCACCAACTTTATTGAAAGAAAATAATTATATAAGGATAAGAAAAGTTTATTAATGACTTTAACAAATAGATACATGTTTTTCATCAAATTAACCAAGTCTTCATAAATTAAAGTATTATTATAATACAAAGAACAATTACTTTGAAATTATTTTGAGTTATTTTCTTTTTGAATAGAATAATACTATCAATTGAAAAAATAATAAATAAAACTTAATATGAAAAATACTTAATTATCTTTTCAAATAAAACTATTATTTTTAATTTAAATTAATGACCCCCCCTTCCCAACCGCTGTGTAGTTGTAAAATTAAACCAATAAAAAACAGAATTAAATTCTTTTCTTATTTTTTGAAAAAGATATCACCAAATATAAGAGAGATTAAAAACTAACAGCTATTTAAAACGTAAAAAAGGACAAAAGTTTCTTTTGAGAATGTTATTATTCATAGCAACCTTTTTTTCTACCTTCTGATTGACTTATCCAATATTGAAGGGTAGAAGGAGATAACCCAGAAAATATTTCAGGATTAATCCCACAAAGGTAATCTATAGCATGAGTTACACCCATTAATTTAGCTAATTTAACTGCTCTTTTTTTATCCTGTAAAGACCACTTCCTCTTCTTTTTTGGTAATCTCTTTCTTTGAAGACCTTGTGGACTAATTTTAGAAATAGAAGACTCAGTGGATTGAGTATAAGATTGATTAATAATATAATCTAATCCATTCACAATAATAAATAACTCTCTTTGTGTAACTGGTTTAAACGCAGATTGAATTACTTCCATCAGCAAACAATTAAAAAAAATGAGTTCTTCTGGTTAAAAACTAGTTTTGAAAACATTTATTTTTCACTAAAGTATTAAACAAACTTTTCAAGATTAACTTTCATAGAATATCTTATTATAAGAAGACTTTTTATTCAAAAAGTTGTTATAAAATTATTATTTAATTAACTAATTTATAGTTTTTTAAAATAAAATAATGAAAAAAAAACGAAAGTAGAATAAAAAATACAAGAGTAATTTTTTCAAAGAAAAGTGATAAGAAAAGTTCTTTGGTTTAAAAGAAAGATTAAAAAAAAAAAAAAGAGGAAAAAAGAAAACTTACTTAATAATATTTTTAAAAAAAATATTTTGGTGAGAATCCACCATATTATAAATATAAAAAGATAAAAATTATGAAATAATTATTCAATTACTTGATTTTGAAGTAAATTAATTATATCCTCTGCTGAATGAGAGAGGTTAGTATCTCCTGAATTTAAAAGAACATTTAGTAGATCTAATATTCCATTTTCAATTAAACACTCTGTAATTATAGGTTTAGTACTAGACAAATCATCTTTTATTAAATATTGAACTCCACGAAGAATAGAATTTACTAACTTTGGAGACTCCCATGAAAGTATTGAAAGAATAGCTACACAGATAGAGTCTTGAGCAAAGTATTGATAATTATTAAAGACTAATAATCCATTACATAAAACCCATGCAGCTTCGTGTTTTACTTGTGGCTTTTCTGTAGAAACAACGATTCTTGAAACTATGTCAAAGATATTATTTTCAATAAAAAGTTTATTCACATCTTGTTCATTATAATAAATAAGATTTGACATTATTAAATAAACAAGCTTCTTAACTTTTGGACTTTTTTGATTTCTTAATGGAAGAATAGCCTTTAATATTTCAAGATGTTTTGATGTATCTGAAGAATAAAATACATAACAAGAAATATATGCCAAGGCACTAGCAATTAATGGTTCTATAATTGAACGTTTTAGAATAATTAGACAAAAACTTTCTATTGACAATAAACTTAAATAATCATAGTAAAACTGATTCTTTCCTAAGAATGCTGAACAATTTAAAATATCAAGAACAACTTGTTCATTACCAGATTTAAGGAATTTAGGTATCAATGAAAATTGTGGAATCAATAATGGACATTCAACTTTAAGTGAACGACAAATAACACTAAAAATCCAGGAAGCATTAATAAATAATTCACTTGTTGGAGGGTATTCAGATAAGTGTTGAATTACACCAAATATCCCTGATTCAATTAATTCAGATGCACAATTTGGATATATTGAAATATTGCCAACACAATATAATAATGTCCCTACTACTTCTTCTTGTTCATTTAATAATTTATTTATTACTTCAATTAATTTATTGTTCATCATTTCTTGTATTACATCAGGGGTTCTTCCACTAGCATCAGAAAGTATCTCTGCTATTCTTATAAATACTCTATCATCTTGTTCGTGGATTTTATCTATAAATGGTGGATAAAAAAACTGAAGGGTTTGTTGTAATAATAACGGAATTACTTGAACAGAAAATACGTCAATACATGTTGATTGGGTACTTGTCATTTTTGCAATCTCCGAAATAACTTGATTTATTAACTCTTCGTTTTGAGACTCAAATGCTTGTTTCAGTCTTCCATAAAAATCTGCGGCAAGAGAAGTATATTGTTTTAATGTTTCTAATGAAATTGTTGTGGTTTGAGGAATTGTATCATCAGTTTCATCAAGAATTCTCTTTTGTGATAAAAACATTTCTCTACGATTTGTTCGTTTATTTGACCTTTCAATTTTCTTGGTTCTAAGAACGTCACTTGCATCTCCAAAATGACGAAAAGACATTTATATTTTTTTTGTTCAGTTTTAAAAAGTTTTATTGTTTTGCTGTTTTACCCAAGTATAACTAAAACAATGTCATTGAGAAGTTGAAGAAAATGAATTATTTTTTGGTGATTCATTTTAAAGAAAAATTAAGTATATAGAGATATAGAGAGATTGTTGTATAAACATAGAGAAGTATTAAAGAAACTTAAAAAAGAAGATTAACTTAATAGTAAAGATATTATCTAAAAAACTAAACTTGAATATAATGAGGAAAGTAAAACAGAAAACTTGCAATAAAAAAACATACAAAAAGAACTAAAATAAATCACAAAAACAACATGGACGTAATTTCATCATTACAAGAATATTTAAATTTTACATTTAATGAAACACCTGGAATGAAAGCACTGATAATGGATTCAGACACTATTCCTGTTGTTTCTATTTTATTTGGAATGACTGAAATTATTCAAAAAGAAGTGTATTTAGTTCAACAATTAAGTGATCAAACACGAGATACATTACCACACCTTAATGCTATTTGTTTACTTAGACCAACAAAAGAAAATATGGAATTATTAAGAAAAGAATTAAATAATCCAAAATATGGGAAATATTATTTGTTTTTTACTAATTTTCTTGACTCAACTCAAATATCATTATTAAGTCAATCTGATGTACATGAAGTTGTTCAAAAAGTAATGGAATTATATGTTGATTATATGCCAGTTAATGATGATTTATTTATTTCATCATGTCCTAATTATTATTCAGTGGTAGGTTCAAATTCAATGAAAAATGAACAAAAAACTATTGATTCCCTTATGGCTCTTTGTCTTTCATTAAAAAAAAATCCAGCAATTAGATATCAACAAAATAGTGAATTAAGTAAACGTATTGCTGAAGGACTTACTCAAGGATTAGAAAGACAAAAGAAAATATTTGGACCAATGAATGGTACTACAATTCTTATTCTTGATCGTTCATTTGATCCAATTACACCACTTTTAACACAATGGACATATCAAGCAATGATTCATGAATTTATAGGTATTGAAAATGGTAAAATTGTATTAGATAATAAACCAATTATTCTTTCAAATGATTCTTTCTTTAATGAACATATGTATTTATTATTTAGTGATATTACTGATTCTATTATTGCTTCTGTAAATGAATTAACTAAAAAAGCAGGTATAGCAAGTAAACAATATCGATCATTAGAAGAAATGAAAGAAACAATTGAACAAATTCCACAATTAAAAAAAGAATCTGCAGGAGTAAAGAAACATCTTGGAATTATGAATGTTATAAACAAAATAGTAAGTAGAAGAAAAATGCTTGATGTTTCTCGACTTGAACAAGATATTGTTTGTGGATCAGGAAGACAAGAACTTTATCAAAGTGTTATTCAATTTTTTGAAGGAGATTATGAAGTAGAAGATAAATTAAGAGTTGGACTATTATATGCTTTAAAATATGAAGATAAAGCACAAGATATTATTGAAGAATTAACAATTAAAGGAATTCCAAGAAATCAAATTCAATTAATTGATGTTGTATTAAGATATGCTGGAAGTTCTAAACGCCCAATTGAAATTTTTAATAAAGTTAAATCAATTGTTGGGTTTGTTAAGAAAAGTGTTGCTGGAGTTGAAAATGTATTTGTTCAACATAAACCAGTATTAGAACAATTATATGATCCACTAATTAATCAACAATTATTAGATAAATTCCCATTTTGTAGAGGAAGTAGTGCTAATGGAAGAGAATTTATTATATATATTGTAGGTGGTGTTACATTAGAAGAAGAAGTTAGTATTGCTACAAGAAATAGAACTAATCCTACTCAAAAATTTATTATTGGAGGATCTGATTTGTTAAATTCTTCAAAATTCATTGAACTGCTTGAATCAATGAAGAAATAATTAATTAATATTTCTTTCAAAAACATAAATTGATTTATTTTGTTATTATTTTTTGGTCATCAAAAACTGCTGCAAGCTGTGCCATTTTGATCATTCCTTCTTGAGTTGCATTACATGCTAAAAATCCTGAATTATGAGTAAAAATAGCACCTTTTATTTTGCAAACATCTTCTAATGCGTTATCTCTTAAACCCCTCCATGGTTGAGGAAATGGTTTTCTCATTTTGAAACTACCTGGTGAAAGAGAAGTAGCAATGCATCCCCATTGGTCTCTTGTATCATCATGAGAAATAACATATAAAACCTCTTTCTTTATTCCATTCTTTGATGCTTCTTCATCTTCTAATTCTGTTAAACAATCTCTCCAACTACACTTTTCATTTAATACCATAATTCTTCCTTCTGAATCATATTCAAATCGTTTACTAAAAGCAACACGGGTTGGTTCAAATGATGGAAGAATACGGAAATAAATACTTGAAACACATTCAATAAACTCTTTCTTAACTAATTCTTGAGCTTTTAAAAACTGTTCTAATCTCATCATACCATAACCTTTTGCATTTAACTTTGCCACTCTTGAAGATAAATTAGTACTATCTCTAAATAACAATTCTGTTGGAGATGGATCAATTCCATTATCTCCTGCATCTATAGGTAATACAAAGGTGTTATATATTTTTAATTTTAACCAACAAATTTGTTCTTCTGTAATACTTCCAAATGGATCGATGAGAGCAATAACATTTTTAACAATTTCTTCTCCAAAATGTTTAAACAATAACCCACATGCACTCAATGTGATTGTATGTTGTGATGAATACGTTTCACTAAACCCTCTTTGGTGATGATCAAATCTATTAATTGAAGGGTCATACACTCCTCCTACATCAAAAACTAAATCACATTTATTTAATTCTTCTTGGTTTAATGTTCGAATAACTCTATGTTGTTTATAGTTATCGGTAAACTTTAAAAATACACATCCTGTTACATCGTCACAATGAAAATTACTTGCATGGGTTCCTATAATCCCCTTCATCTTTTTTATAATTCCTTTTAAATTCTTTTTTTATTTTTTTTTTTTTTTTAATCCTTTAATTGTCATTCATAAAATCTTTTACAATTTATTTTATATTTGTATTTTATTGGACCAGTCTCTCTCTTTTTCATAATTTAATTTTAATTTGTTTTATTGTTGTTTCAAATAAATAAAATAGCTTTTGTTATTAGTTTATAGTAAAGTAAATTGAAATAACACTTTTGTAGATAAAACAAAAATTAAAATTATTTTATATTTTGTTATAAAAATACAAAAATCACTTAAACAATAAATGTTTAAGTATTTTAGCTTTATAAGTAATTTTCTCTAATGTTGAAAGAGACTTTGTTTCGTAAATAGTTTTGTGTGATTCTACAAACAGAGAAGACATTATGTTAAATACTAATTCTATATCATTTGGCTTAGATGTGTCACACTCAAAAACTTCTTTAATACAAATTTGATCTTTCAATTTTATCTGATCATCCTCAGATACTTCAACTGGATAATTTGTCATTTCATTTTTAAGTCCAATAACATAAATAATAGGGATATATTCAACATTCCTATAAACATAAGAAATCCATCGTTGAGTGACAGCAATAAATGATTCTTTATTATAAACTGAATAGCAAATAACAAAATAATTAACTGATTCAAAGAAAACATTTCTGATATCATCATATTGATAATCTCCATTACTATCATAAATCACATATTCTTCATCTTTAAATCTATTCATAATTCTATATTTAAATGAAGTTTTAGAGAATAATAGAGGACAATACTTCTTATTTTCAAAAGTATTCATTAGAACAGTTTTACCTATTTTATTGTTTCCAAGCAATATTGTAGTATAAGTTTTCATCATATAACATTTACTTCATCCAAAGTTTTTTCTTTTTAAATTGACTCATTTTTAATTTTCTCATAAATCTTTCATTCTATTCTATTGATTATTTTGAATAATAAATATACTTATTATATTATTATATTTCTATCTCAAAAAATATTTTTAGAGTTTTTTGGTGAAGACTTCTATTTGGTGATAGTAGAAAATTCTATTTAAATCAATATACTAGAACTAAAAAGAAATTAGTAAAAACTTGATGTGATTTCAGAAATAATAAGACGAGAAAGGACAAATTGTGGTGATGTTAAGAATGAACCTTGAGTATAAAAAGAAGTGTTGACTTGATCAGAAAGAAAACTAAATTCCTTATTAAGCTTGGAATTTAAACGTAATGTACAATTAATAATAAAATTCTTTTGACTATCTTTTTTACAGAAAGAAATAAATGCAAGACGTTTATTTTTAACCTTCCAAATTACTGGTGGGTTTATAATTTTACCATTATAAAGACAAGAAAATAACACCATTTTAGGATCTTCCCATTGAATTAATGGGTGTAGGTTTAACATTATTTGAGAATAACTAGGTAGAGAAGTATGGTAACTGCCAAACACATCTCCACTTGATAAACAATAAAAAATTACAACTTTTTGCTGAGAATATAGATTACGAAAAATGCAAGAAGTTGTAAATTCATCTTGACGTGAATCATAAATTGTCTGAAATTTTTTTTCACCTAAAATAAGATACAAATATTGTTCTAAATCAAAGGACTCTTTAATAGAATGGTGTAATGGAAAATCTAAAGTTTTGATTAATTCTTTATCTCTTTTAATTTGATTTCTTTGTTTTTTTAAAAATTGTTGTTGTTTTCTTTTCAAGTTTTTAGACATTGACTTTTAGATTTCTATAATCTTAAAATTAAGAAAAGAGAAAAAAGGGACACAAAGATAGAATGAAAAAATAAAAGTTAAAAAGAGAAAAGTGAGAAAGAGAAGAACAGAAATTCAAAAAGAGAAAAGAAAAGAAAACCCTTTAACGTTGAGAATCTAAAAAATAAAAAGAGAAAAAGAAAGAAAAAAAAAAAAGAGAAACAACAGAAAAAAATATTAAAAAGAAGAAAACCTTTTAGAATATAAAAAGGGTTTCCGAAAATCTTAAAAAGTACAGGAGAGAGAATGGAAGATATCCCAGTTTCTCCAATTCATACAAATGAATCATTTCCTAATAAATTACCACCAGCAATTAGTATTATTTCTGCTATTTCAGAAGATAGAAATGAGTCAGAAGAAAGTCAAATTAGTAAAAAATCAGAAAGTGATAATAAAAAAATAAGACGAAAGAATAATGTCAATGAAGAGACATTAAAAATAATACACAACATGTATATAAGAGGGTATAAAGCAAAAGAAATTGCTATAATTACAGAATTAACAAAAAGTACAGTTTATAAATATATTGAAAGAATGAATGATGAAAATCCACAACGAGATGATATGAGTAGTTTAATTAGAAAAAGAGGAAGAAAAAAATCAGAAAATACTTTTTTACAAGATAGAATTCGTGATTTTCTAAATTCAAATAATGGAATGACTTTAAAATGTATGAAAGATATTCTTAAAGATGAAGGTCATGATATTTCTATTAGTTATCTCTCTAAAATTATTAAAAAAATGGGATTAGGAAAAAGGGCTAATCACTCAATTACTCAAGTTAGAAGATCTAATGAGCCAATTGAATCGTTCTCATTACAAGATACTCTTTCTACTTTTACATCTCAACAACAAGATATGTTACCCCCTCCAACAGGAAATTTTAGTCAATAGAGTTAGATATTGTATTAATTTGCTCTTTTTCTTTTAAAAAAGAGATTTATCATTTTTTAATTGAATTGTTTATTTAGTAATTAATGTTTTCTTCTCATTAATATGATAGAATAAATTAAGAAAAAAATAAATTTATTTTTTTAGTTTTAAGTTAGTCTAATTAATAAAACAAAAAATAAATTTTTATTGTTGTTAATAAGGTATTTTAAATTATTTTAATTTCTCTTTTTCATATTTGGGATAAATAAAAAAGTCTAATTTCGTCGAGGAATGGTTTTAAAAAAAAAAAGAATAAGAAATAATATAAATAAATAGAATAGTATTAATTATGGTTCATTTTAAAAATAATTTTTAGTTCAAAAAAAAAAAAACAAAAAAAGATTAACTTAAAAAAACAAAACAAACAAAATGAGTCATTATACATTAGTTATGCTTGGGGGTGGTGCTGTTGGGAAATCAGCTGTCACTGTCCAATTAGTTTCTGGGGTATTTGTACAAATGTATAATCCAACAATTGAAGATTCTTTTAATACTACAATTGATGTTGATGGAGAAATGGTTTCATTAAATATTGTTGATACTGCAGGTCAAGAAGAATACTCATCATTAAGAGATCAATACATGAGATCTGGTGATGGATTTGTTATTGTTTATTCAATTATTTCAACTACATCATTTTTAGAAGTAAGTGGAATTCGAGATCAATTATTTAGGGTATTAGAAAAAGAACCTGATGAACATATTTGTATGGTGCTTTGTGGTAATAAATGTGATATGGAAAGTGACCGTCAAGTTAATACTTCAGAAGTGAAACAAATTGCTGAAGAATGGAAATGTCCTTTTTATGAAACTTCAGCTAAAGAAAGGATTAATATCTTAGAGTCATTCCAGGCTTTAGTTAGAGATATCAAAAAATGGACTACTGTCCCTGATACTGAAACTACTACTTCTAACTCTTCTTCTAAACCTGAAAAAAAGAAAAAAGGTTGCTTCATTTTTTAATACATTTAAAATACTATTGTTTTAACTAATTATTTCGGCGTATACAGTAACGAAATTCAATTTTTCTTTCTTTTTATTATTTTTTCTCTTTTTTTACTTTTTCAATTTATTATTATTTTAATATTTTTCTCTTCCCTCATTAAAACAACAAAAATTTCCTTTTCTTTTTGGACATCTAATAAATTTATTTTAAATAATTAATTAATTGTGTTCATTTTATTTTTTAATTAACTGATTTATTAATAATTTATAAAAAATATTGAAAAAATATTAAAATCAAAAGATATAAATTAATTGCTTTTAGACGTTTGTTTGACAAACTGGTTTGAATAATTTATTTCCTTGAATTCCTAATTTTGTCCATTTACGGTATTGTTGCTGTTGATCTCTATGTGTTTTATTATTAACCATTTGTCTTCGTAAAATAGACTTAACATAATCAGCATATGTCTTCTCTGGTAAGGCCATCAATGCCTTAGAAGATCCTATTGTTTGATTAACTGTTGGCATAGAAACTGGGATTTGAGGATGTGATCTTCCTTGGTTTGCTAATACACACGCACGTGTTTCCACTGGTTTTACTGTTTGTTTATAATAATTAGCCATGCTACGATGACCAATAGTCATTCCATTTGATAAAGTCATAGAAGTATCGTCCATATCAATAATTTCAATAGGATCTGGGACAGAACTGTAGTCATAATAATCATCATATTCTTCAATTGTCTTATCATCATATCTCATTTTACAATGGCAAACATCAATCATATGTTGTCTTACTGATTCATAAGAATGAAATGAAGAAGTTTCTCCAGAACACCAAATACAAAGATATCCAATACAAATTTTATCATGTAAATAATTTAATAGCCCACTAATATCACAACAACATTCGATATTAGGAATAAAGAAAGAATGTTCTTTTTCCATATGTGTTAAATTCTCTTCAGTATTTTGACTTTCAATACCGCAAAATAAACAATGTTTTCCTGATCTCTTTGGTGCAAGAGATTTTCTTTCTTGAATCATTTCATCAAGAGTTTGTTCAGGAATATTTTCTAAATCCTCTTCCTCTTCTTCAGCTTGTATAGTTTGTTTTTTAATACAATCTGCAGCTCTTTGTGGATTCTTTTTTAGATTTATTTTATGTTTTTTACTTAATTCATGTTCTTTCATTTGATTTTCAGTATTATATCTCTTTTTGCATAAACTACAATAATAAGTACACTCTTCAGTTTTAAACGAAACATCTTTTGCCATTATTTCTTTATACTTTTGTAATGAAACTGGTTCCATTAATACTGCTTTTCTTTTCATATTAAACACATGATAATCAGATTTAAAGTGAGTGGTTCTTTCTTCTGAACTACTAAATTGAATACAACAAGTAGAACAAATAAATTTTTGTTGTAAAGGAGATGACATGAAAAGTTTCTGAATGAATAGATTCAATCATATTTCCTCCTTTTAATAACCCTTGTTATTAATAGTTTTCTTTTTTATAAGTGTTTATTGAAGTATAACATTTTTTGTTTTAAGAATTTCTCTTTTTTTATATGAAAAGTGTTGAAAACAAAAAAAAGGAATTCAAAGTACTATTTTGTTCTTATTAAAATGTTCCATATACAAACATATCAATTTTATTTTCTTCTTATAGGACTTCCTTTGTTGTATTGTTTTGTTCCAACTTACAATAATAATCTTATTAGTGATCGAGAAGGTATTCAACCATTATTTAATTCATTTGTTATGGTCATTTCATCAGGAAATTCTAGTAAAACTTTAGAAAATGTTTCTTATCAAAACTGTTTCTTTTTAGAAGAAACAAATAGTTCAATTATTGTTGAATTATCTGATGGTGTTAATTTTGTAAGATTCAATAAAACTATTAATTTTAAACATATCAATATTGCATTAACAACTCAGATTGCTCCAATTAAACGAATTCCACAAGAAATTAGAGAACATTTCTATTATTCTCCTTCTCACAATCTTCTTTCTCCTGGAGTAATTATTTCTGGAGAGAATTTAATTAGTGATTATAGAATTGATGAAAGTTATGACGAAGATTTCTTTGAAAAGGAAACCACTCAAACCCAGTCATTAAATATAAAAAAACATTTAGACTTAAGCAACGGTTTGGGAAAGGAAGTCTGTGTTCACAATTTAACGTTCTTCCATTTTATTGCTATTTCAGCAACAGAACTCGGTAACAAATTTTATAATTTCTCTAGTATTCCATCAATTATTTTTGATTCTGATCACATTTTTCAAATTTATATGTCTGTATGTTTTGCTCTAATTTGTGCCAATATGTTTACACGATGGGTGGTTCCATCTAAAGAACATCTTGTCTTATATATTAGTTTTACTCTTATTTTTATTTCATTCTATCATATTAATGATCAATTTACTCACCCTAGTTCTGATTTAAAACGATTTGCCTCTGTTAATTATTTTACTCCAATTCTCTTTTTTTCTCAAATCTTCCTTAAATATAAAACTGCGACTGAGCTTTGTAGTGCTACTGAAGAAACTTTGAGGTATCTTTGGGAATCTCATTTCATGTTATTTATCCCCTTAATTATTATTTTAATAGGCACTCGTTTTACATCTGTTTGTTGGTTTGGAGTACTAATACTTGCTTCATTAATAGTAAAATTTACACCTAAAAAGGTTAGTATTATAACTAAGTTTTCAGCACTAATATGTATGGCTTATATTTTGTTGTTTGTGAACTGGGATCTCTTTAACTTTATTTGTGTAGTTCCATTCTTCTTATTGCTGATTTAAGTTAATATTTCTTTTTTTCTTGTTACTCTTCCTTTCTAAAGACATAGAAAAACATGAAAAAGTAGAGAAAAGAAAGAATGAAATTACAAATTTGATTCATTAAGTTTTAACGATAATTAATTTGATCTGATTATTATCTTTCTTGTAATAACTTAGGTTTTTTTTCTTGACTATTTTCTTCAGTGGCTTGTGGTTTAAATTGTTCTAATTGACTAATAGGATAATCCCAAATAATATCATCATTATCCCAACTATCATCGTCATCATATCCTTCTTCTTCTGATTCATCTTCAGGCTTTGTTGTTGAATTTAAAGGATGAGCATCAACTAATGAATGAATTTCTTCAATTTTTTTTGTCATTTGTTCTTGAAGTAAGTTTAAACGTGTACTTTCTTCAGCAATCATTTGGGTAATTGTTCTAATTTGAGTTTGAACACCTTCAAGTAATTGTCTTTGACGCTCATATTCTTTTTTACCTTCAACATCAATTTGGGTCTCTGTGGGTGTGGTTCCTTTGTTCTCCATTTTTTAATCATGACTCTTCGTTGAGTTCTTTTTATCCAAAAGGTTCTCAGAACATCCAAAGATTCTCAGAAAGAATCCTCTCGTTCTTCCAGTTCTTCCTTATAACTTCTGTCATTCTCTGGAATAACTACTTCTTTCCTAATAAAATTGTTATTAATAGCAATTTTAATTTATTTGTTGTTTATGAAATTATTCAACAATAGTTTATGGAGAGTTATATGAATAGGGAGTAAGGTGATTGAGTTCTATTCATAAACCTTACATAAGTGATGTACCAATTCTTTTGTTTAATTCTTTTGTTTTACTGATAAGGAACATTTTAGTAAATGGGTAAGTGGTAGTGTTGGTTATTGAGTGTTAGATAATTTATTTTTGAAATTTTATTTATTAAAGAAACAGATATCCAAAAAATGAGATAATAAACAAATTCTATAAATTATAATACATTAAATTAATAATTTAATTATTTTATTTTTAATTTAATGAAAAACAATAATTATAAATATCAATAACAAATTCTTTCATTTTTATTATTATTATTTCTTATTTCTTTTTTAACTTTCTTCTTGTTTTATCAATTGTGTCATTCATATAAAATTGAAATTTGATGATAAATAATCAGTTAAGAATTGTGTTGACATTTTTAAATAAATCATATTTAAAATTGTTTTAAATGTTTCAATTCATTAAAATATATTAATTTATCATTTTTATCATTTGAATAGATGATGTTAATGATCAATTAATGAATAAATATTATCATTAATCACTTGTTTTGTTGAATAAAATTGAATATGTTCTATTTCTATCTTTTTTATTCATTTTATATCATTTATTATATTTCTCATTTAACTTCTAAAAGAATGTTATTTATTTAAAATAAACTGTTGTTCAATAACTATTCATATTAATGATGTTATAAATTGAAATAATAATATTCATCAGTTTTGAAGAAATTCTGTATTTTTTTAAAGAAACTATAGTATTTGTATTAATTTATTTAGATGATAACACATTATTTAATCTTGTTATTACATTTGATATTATTGATTGATTAGTATTACTTTCAATGAATGAACTTTTCTAGAAAATCACTACAACATTGATTGGATAGTAAATTCAATTAAAATTTGTTGATGAAATCTATGATGAGTGTTAGATATAATTTAATCATGATGATTTATATAATAATTTAAAATGATTTGTAAATCAATAAGAAGAATATAACATTCATTGATATTTAAAATGATGAAATTTGATTTCAATAATGATTTGATATAAAGAAATATAAAGTTGTTATTCATAATACATTTAATGATGATTAAATCAAAAGTAATTGAATAAATACAAAATAATCAATAATTCTTATGTGTATTAATTTTAATTGTTTATTTAAATATTCATTGATTATTTTAAATATCAAATCAATCAATATTGATGTATTTCATTATTTATTCTTTATTATATTTATTTTTGATTGTATTTTATTATTAAAACTTGTTTATATTTTCTTCTTATATTTATTTTATTTCAATGATAATAAACACAATATTAATGAATAAATTATAATATGATATAATTCAGTTTTATTAATTGATAATTTATCATTGATTTAATATGAATTTAATGATTTAATTAATATTGAATATTATAGTTATTTATATATTCATTCAACATGTTTATTATCTATTCTATTATTTAGATTTAGTATTATTTGAAATTAAAAGATTAAGGTAAATCATACGAATTTATATTTAAATATCAAGTATTCATTTTGATTGTATTTATCGTATTTATTCTTTATTTGATTTTACATTTTTATTATTATCTCATGTTATTATTTCATTAAACATCTTGTTGATGATTTAGAAATTGGATATGATTGTTTAGAATATTTCATTTCTTCATTATTTCATTTATCAAATAATGTAATATTTAATACAAGAAATGATAATAGAGAGAAAATGAAATGATAATAAATAATAAAATCAATAAAGAATGATATAATTCATAACATTAATAATTTAATTGAATAAATTAGAAATATAAAGAGAAGAAATGATAATAAAACTAATATTTGCGATATTAGATATTTAAATAAATTAATTAATAGATTAACTGATTTTATGAAAGTTAATAATGATGATAATGAAACAATTATAATATGGATTCAATAATACCAATAACATTGAAATAATTAAATTAAAACAAGTGTATTTGAAATATTATAATCAAAATTAATAATAATAAGAAATGAATAAATAGATACTACAAATATCATTAATACAAACAATAAGAAAATAATGAAGAAAGAAGATAATAATCAAGTATTCAAATACTTAAATCAAATTGTTATTATGAAGAGAATATAAAATAAGAATGAGTTGTTATAATAAAATAAAAGTATAAAAATTAATAAATCAAGCAGAAAAGAGAGAAAATGATAAGATAATAGATGAAGAAATGAAGTGATAAAGAAAATAATAACAAAAATAAAGAAATTTAACAACAAATATGAAAGTTTAAATAAAACAAAATAACAATAAAAAGTAGTTAATTAAGTGTTAATAGAATTTGTGTCTATTGTTCCTGGCTCAGGGGAGACTAATCCCTCCCTGAATATTCGTCATATAGTTCAACTACATATGTTTGGTTGTGATAGATACAGTGTTCCATGATATCCATCATGTTTTTAATTACATGGTTTTTAATTTCTTTAGTGATGTCAATTTCAATTTTTAATTCTTTTATTAATTTAATACTTTCCGCATTTATTAGCCCATTAATCGAAATTACTACTGGAATTATTTTGACATCTTTTAATTTCTCTATTCATTAGCCTATTTTTTAATTCCTTATACATATTTCTTTTCTTCCAATAGCCTCCATTAATATTATGATCTGCCACAATAGTCATATCAATTATTAGATCAGTTTTATTCTTTTTATCTAGTACATATATATCTGGTCTTTTATGATATAGTCCATCACTTTTTGGCATTATTTGTTTGTTTCATATCATAGTAATGTCATTGTATTGGAACACTGTTTCGTATGGGGGTTTCTTGTATTGTTTATTTCCTGTGTATTTTCTTATTAACCCCTCCCATATGATAAAATAATAATATAAATAAAAATAAATTATTATTTTATTTTTATTATTTATTATATTATTACTATTATATTTAACTATTCCACTATTAATTTCATTATAATTTATTATTAATATTTAAATTATTTCTTTATATTATTTAATTTTATTATTATTTCTTTATATTCTATATCTTTCATTCATATCACATTACCATATCATTAATTATATAATAATCTTGTACTTTCTCAATTTTTTTGTATATCTGAAATTTGTTGAGTATAATTATTTTTTTCAAAAGAGTGTGTACTTAATTAAAGCTTAATTTTATTCTTACTAAAGTGCTCATTTGTTATTAGCATTGTTTTTTTATTCTCTTAGTCGTATAGTAAACCTGTTAAAGAGAGAATTATGGCTTACCATATTTAAAAATTGAATTCAGTACAAGGAGTATTGTATTTTTTTTTAATTATTTTCTTCTTGGGTTGAGTGTTTCAATTGTGTTTATTGAATAATGAGGTCTCAAATACTAATTAACAAAGTACAAAGGAAGAAAGTTTAAAAGATATGAAAGATATTAATCAAAAAACAAGTTCAAAATAAAAGAATCAAAAGAGTAATTTTTTTAAAAGACAAAAATCAACAAAATAAAAACTTTTAAGAAAATAAAAAAAATTGAGATCTTAGAGAACTGATTTTTATAATATTATGAAAGTGATTTTAACACTTTTTATTTTATTATTAGTACAGTCAAAGGATGTTGTAGACACAGTTACATTTGAAATTAAACCATCACCAAAGAACATTAACGAATTATTAGCAATACTTGATAAAGAAATTGAGAGAAAGAATAGTAGTTCTATTAAACGATATGAAGAAGCAAATATTAAATATCAAGTAAATAGAGAGAAGTATTCATCATTGTTGGTCTCATCAAAATCTCAAATGACAAATGTTGTAGAAGATATAAATTCAATTAAAAAAGAATTAAAAACATTAACACTCAAACGGAATGCATTAATCCAAGTTAAACAAAATACACAAGAAATTGACCATCAAATTACTGTATTAAAACAAAACAAAAAGGATAAAGAAAAAGCCTTAAAAGATATAAATAAAAGAAGCAAACAATTACAGAAAGAATATAATAAAGTTATTGTTCATTGGGAAAAAGCACAGAAAAAAAGAAGTAATGAAAAAGAATTTATTAATAAAAGAAAGAATAAAATTATTCAATTAAAAGAAATTATTTCATTGGCATTAATTAAAAATAAGGAACTTAAAGCATTATCACAAGAATTTATTAATTCTATGGTTTGTGGTAATAAAATTGAACGAGAAACATTCTTTTTAATGAAAAATAAAACTGATAAAAATTCTAAACGATTAATGAAGTTATTACAAGATGCTAGAAACCTTGCAGAAAAGTTAACACAACCAAAAACAAAAGATATAGCAAGAATGAAATTTAAAGTTCAAGTTGAAATTATTAAAAAAAATAAGATAAAAACTAAGAGTAGTATTGAAGAGTTAGAGAAGAAATTAACATTTATTAGTCAAAAAATACAAAACACTCTTGATGAATGTAAAATTGCAGCAGGAGTAATTAAGAGTAGTTGTGAAAGTAAATTAACTAGATTAAAAGAAGAAAGAAAAAGTATTAAGAAAGAAATAAGAAAAGAAAAAAGTAAATTAATTGATATTAATAACCAATACGAAAATATAAAAACACAAATTAGTGAAGAAGTTGCTCAACAAGCATTAAAAGAGGCTAAAGTTGGAAGGCAAAAAATGCATATTTGGATGGAACGATGTAAAAAACAAATAAAAGATGCCCGAGAAATAACAGGAAAATTAGCTATTGAAGAAATGGAAGGATGTGGTACATATCAAGAAGCTGTTATTAATAAAAGACAAATGGTAGTTGATCGATTAGTTATGTTAAAAGAAAGAAGAAAAGAAGTTTATAGAAAATATATTCATTTATTAGAGAAAGAAGAAAAAACAGTAAATAAACATATTGAAGAATTAAGTAAAAGTGGAGATAAATATGAAAAAAGTGCATTAATATTTGCAAAATATGAAAGTAAAGGAGTTTTTGAAGGTAATCAACGAAGTGAAAAAATGAAGAAAAGAGCAAATGAACAAAGAAGAAAAGCAGCTGATCAAGCAGATTTAGTTATTTCAGAATGGAGAATATTAAGTAGAGAAGAAAATAAAGAAATAGAAGAATTACAAAAGAGAGCAAAAGAAATGAAGAAAAATATTAAAAATATTGAAGAAGGATTAATTAGAATTGATCATAATATTACTATTGGAATTAAAAAAGATGAATTACAAGAAATAAATAATGAAATTGTTATGAAACATCAAGTAATTAAAAAATTATATTCAATAATTAAAAAAATGATTCGACGTTCTGTTGGAAAGAATTCTATAATGAGAAAAGCAGCTATTAATCGATTAGTTGATTTAAAAAGAAATAAAATCGAAATGAAGAAACAAATTCAAATGTTAATGAAAAAAGCAAGTCAAGCACCAATTGAAGAAGTATCACAGATTAAGAAATTAATGAAAAGATATGAACGACAAGCAGGACAATTAGTTGGTGAAGAGATGTATATGAAACAAATGATTGAATTATGTAAAGAACGAGAAAATAGTATTAGAAGAAGAGAAGAAAAAGAAATGAAAATTAAAGGTGCACAAAAAATAACTCAAAAAGGATTTCTTATTATTCAAAAAATGAATAAAAAAGAAAGCCAATATAGAGAAAGTATTAATAATGCTAAAAGACTCACAAGAAAAATGGAAATTGTTGAAGATAAAGATAAAGTAATATTATCTGCTATTATTGGTAAGTTAAGAAAAAGAGCACAACATCTTGCATATGAATTAAAGAATATTGAAAAGAAAAGAAGAGTTGTTAGTGGGGAATTAGTTGAATGGAAATATCAATTTGATCAAATGATGGCAAAAAGAAGTAATGAATATCGATTTGAACATGGTAAATTAGAAGATTTAATTGAGAGATTAAAAAAAGAAGAAGACAGTATTGTATGTAAAGGAAATAGAGGTCTATATGAAAAAACTATTAAAATGGTAAAAGAACGAATGGGCATTAGAGAAGAAGAGTTTAAAGACTTTAAAGATGAAATTAATGAAATTATTAAAGAAATTAATTTAGCACATGGAAAATGTTATAATGGAATTGTTGATGGAATTGAAGGAGATCAACAAAAATGTAAAGTTTGTGTTAATTTAGCTGAATTTATTTTGAGACAAGCAAGAAATGGAAAGTCTAAAAATAAAATTGCTCGAATGGTTTTAGCTCGTTGTAAAGCCTCGGATAAACCACACACTTGTTATTCTGCTGCTATGAGCTTAATGGCTCATTTTGATAGTAAAATCATTGATGCTACTCCATTACAATTCTGTGTTCATTCTAATAAATGTGTTGTGAGAGACTGGTAAAGGTAAGTTCACTTTTTAAAAAAATGAAAGATTAACCTTTTTTTTAAGAACACCCTAAGTGGGGCATAGGTCATAATACATACCAGCCATAAGGCACAAGCAAGATAAAATATGGAATGGTAGTGTGATAAAAGTGAGATTTATTTCAAAAATAAAATCAAACTATTTTTCATTCTTTATTTTTAAAGTAGTTTACAAATAATTTAATAACAGCATTCACAACCAAAAAATAATAATTTGAGGTGAACAATTAATAATTCAATTATCCCTTCAATGGTTGTTGTTATAAAGAATAAATTAAAATATAGTTTTGAAATCCTTTTTTAAATTTTAACGCTGTTTATTCTTGAAGTAGTGTTGGATAAGAAAAGAAGAGTAAGAGATAAAAGATTTTAGAATAAAGATAAAACAATTGAAAATATATCTTAATGCTTAACAATTACTTTGTTCGAAGATAGTTATTATCCTAGAGAGTTATTCAATTTACAAACACATTAACTTTTTTACCAAATTAATGAATAAAATAATACAAAATAAGTCATAAATAAGACAAAGAAAACAATAAAATAAAAGAAGAATATAAAAAGAGTTGAGGTGATAAAAACAGTAAAAGAAATGGTAACATAAAATTGAATAAATTTTGTATTCATTTAATAAGACATATTTAGTTCGTTATTTTTATAATAATAAATTAAAAGAATCAATTAATGTACTGTTTCAATCATTTAAACTTTGTTAATTATTATTTTATATTCCTATAATAAATGAAGTATTGTTATATATTTTAATTAGACTGTATTTTTACAAAACAAATGAATAATAATTGATTCAAATATTTCTGTTTTATTTAATTTTATGTTTTATAATATAATATATTTGTTGTTATTGTTTTAAAATCGTGTTTATGAAGATTGAAATTGTTTAAAGAATAAATAGATAATGATTAATGATATATCTTTCTTTGAATCATTCTTTATAGCATTATTCACTTCCATCATTATTTTTCTCTTAAATATAAAAGTTATATTATA